GGTAATTTTGTGTATATGGGCTTTAGTGTCCATGTTTGGCACTAGTAGCTTAATGTTGGAATAAATATGCTATTAATAATCTGTCTCTTTGCACTCATAGTTATGCTTGGATGTCTTAATAATGGTGACAATTGGTATTTAAGTGCACTTGCTTTCTGACATCTGGTTTCTATTTCTCTGTCAATTCTACCATCTTCTGTGATCATACTTCTTAGATATTTGAACTCCCTAACTTGATTCAGGGCAGAACCATTCAGCTGTATGTGTAGTGGGGCAGAATGTCTACTAACTTGCATTGTTTCAGTTTTGTTTACATTGATCTTCATGTTGTATTTACTACATGCTGAGTTTAACCTGTTAATGTGGCCTTGCAGTCTATGTTCTTCAGGGTAGAACAAGCACTGGTCGTCAGCAAACAGTATAACCATTATTAACTAGTGGAAATTACAGTTCTCATACCGTCATGTCCTACTTTCTATCGGGGTTTCCCATCTCAGCCATCCAAGAACCGCTTCCTACCTTTTATTAATGTGAACTGATGTTTCCTCTAACATTCAACGGTAATTCATAAAACCACATCTTTCCACCATCAATCAAAAGAGACATAAAACTTATAACTCACATAAGGTCAGATCCCACTGTCACCTTGAAGGTCACCTGCACTAATTGTTTAAGAATGTCTCCAATGAAGATAAGCCAGCTTACTTATAGTTATTTTTCAGTCTGTGTCCAGGTTATACGATGTCAATATAGTTTTGAAAACAAAATAACAATTAACCCCTACTCTGTACTTAATTATAGCCAAAAGAAGAATCAGTCTTCACAAAAATATTATAGCTAATTAAAGTTTAGTAATATATATCTTTTTCTTATTTTTTTTTTGCGTTCACCAGCTGTAAACACTGGCAGAAAGTTCAGGTTTTTTGTCCACTTCTGGACTGCAGTCCTGTTCCAGAACTTGAGTGTTGCATGTGCATCCGTTTGACAGATATGACTAATTTGTATGCAGACTGTTGGTTCCTTGTCTCTCAGGCAGATGCACTTCGACTTTGAAGGAAGCTCCCAATTAGTCGACTCTTACGACCTTCTTTTTGGCTAGACAGTTGGTCTATTCTTGTTTTCCCTATAACAGGGCCCCAGAACCCACACGGGTTCTTCTTCTTTCGTTCGCCTGAAAAAAGTTATCTATATCAGCAGTTTTGTCTCTTGTATATATTTCACTGTCGTTGTTAGTTCATTCAGTGGTCCATAGAGTTTACGTTCCACTGTTGTTCTTTCTGGCCAAAAGGTTTGCCTTAATGTGTCAAAATCGGTGCAGTCCTGGAGTACATGCTCTGCGGTCTGGGGCACATTTCCACAGGTGCACATGGCTGATACACCTATCTTGAATTTTGTGTACATGTGGTTACGTAATCGGTTGTGCCCTGTTCTGAGGCGGAGGACACGGGGAAGTAATATATATATAAATAAAATAGCCACTGTAACAGGATGAAATACTTTCACAAATGTAAGTGGAAAGATGGTGCTACATTGGACACACCCTGGAGAGAAACGAGCAGAGAATCACCAAACAGACAGAGGGGCTGTGGACATCCAAGGGTACTGCTGGCGAGATGTTGGACTGGATTCTATCCATGATATCAAAGTGATTGCACAGGAAGGAATGGAAGGGAGGAAGAGACTGCAAGCTCTATGTGACGTAGTGTGGCACAACAGGATAATGAATGGAAAACAAAACAGCAGAAAACACTAACTAGGAGTTTAGCAAGAGGCAGACCATGAAGAAGATGAAGAAACATCCAGGCAGACCTACAAAAACTTGGAGAAACATCCAGGCAGACCTACAAACACTTGGAGAAACATCCAGGCAGGCCTACAAACACTTGGAGAAACATCCAGGCAGGCCTACAAACACTTGGAGAAACATCCAGGCAGACCTACAAACACTTGGAGAAACATCCAGGCAGACCTACAAAACACTTGGAGAAACATCCAGGCAGACCTACAAACACTTGGAGAAACATCCAGGCAGACCTACAAACACTTGGAGAAACATCCAGGCAGACCTACAAACACTTGGAGAAACATCCAGGCAGACCTACAAACACTTGGAGAAACATCCAGGCAGACCTACAAACACTTGGAGTCACCAACTGGAAAAAAAAAATGCCAATCATGGAAAGAAAAAGAAGTGAGTGACATCTGCAGCAATGAACCTCAAGGACTCATAATACTGGAGAAGAAGAAGTGGGAAACAACATAAAACATAATACTGGAGAAGAAGAAGTGGGAAACAACATAAAACATAATACTGGAGAAGAAGAAGTGGGAAACAACATAAAACATAATACTGGAGAAGAAGAAGTGGGAAACAACATAAAACATAATACTGGAGAAGAAGAAGTGGGAAACAACATAAAACATAATACTGGAGAAGAAGAAGTGGGAAACAACATAAAACAAAAAATAACAAGCAAATAACCTACAGTCATTGCGCCTCAGAAGCCAGAGTTTATCAACAAGGTCATTCTGCACGGACGTCAAGGTCAAAGCGTAGGCTGTGATGGCCATGAAGAATATATCCTCCTGTGAGAGAGAGTACATCTGCTTCTGCAGGAAGGCTGCTGCATTTGTCTTGGCCCTTTCAATGCATGACGATGTTCCCTAGGACAGGATTTTAACGCGTTAAACAAAAACAGTTAGTTGTGTGTCCTTTACAGAATGCTACAGTACCAACCTCTCCAATTTTTTGGCTGTTAGTTTTTTTCTATTTCATTTTCTTTGGTCCCAGTGTAAGTTTTAGGGCCCCATTGTGGGGAGAACAAGAATAGACCCACTGCCTGCCCAAAGGCATGTGGTAGGAGTCTATAAGGAAAGTAAAGGACCCTTTTCCAAGCCTTTAGGCGTATAGGGTATATAGGGCTAGACCTATATTTTTATGGACCAATCGGCACAAGATGGGTGATATAGTTGGCATCACAGCAGCCAAGTCATTTATATTTTTATGGACCAATCGGCACCTACTCAAGGCTGGGTCGACCTAGGAGCCAAGTCACCTATATTTTTATGGACCAATCGGCACAAGATGGGTGATATTGTTGGCATCACAGCAACCACCGTTACTTCCCGAGACTGCACCCGTACCTACTCAAGGCTGGATCGACCTAGGAACCAAGTCATTTTTTTTTTAAAGTCTGGCTCCACGGCAAGCGTAATAAGGTCTACGCTTTCAGTAAATTCTACAGTTGAACAATTCTAATCTGTTCTGGCTCAATGTTGACTAACATTGCCCTGGTAAAGGGCAATAGCATAAGCTGCCATTTCCTAGTCACTGCAGTTGTTATTCCAAATATGTTAACATAGAATAATTTTTCCCGTGTGGATTCCAGGGCCCCATTGTGAGGAAAACAAGTAAAGACCCCATGCGTGCCCAAAATTATGTCGTAAGGGTCAACTAATTGCAAAATTTCTTTGAAGTCGGAGTACATCTGCCTGAGAAGCAAGGAACCAACAATCTGCATGCAAATGAGTCAAATCTGTGAAACAGATGTACATGCAACATTCAGTTTCTGGAACAGGACTAGAGTTCAAAAGTGGACGAACAAGAACTTTCTGCCGGAGTTTACTGCCAATGAATGCGAAGAAGACGAATAATTTAGTAGAAAACCCTCATTCTAGCCCAACTCTCTAAGAGCATTCATACAGGTTTGACCCAAGGGTTGATTCTTTGACGAACCTGTTAACCTTCCTAAACTGGGATGTCATCTCAAGATCTCTTTGTTTCCTTAAAGCCTAGTTGTCAGGCCTAAGGGGTGTGGCCACATGTTGTTTCACAGCTCCCCCAGAAGATGATAGTCTTGCAAGACACATGTTGTATCACAGCTCCCCCAGGAGATGAAAGTCTTGCAAGACACATGTTGTTTCACAGCTCCCCCAGGAGATGATAGTCTTGCAAGACACATGTTGTATCACAGCTCCCCCAGGATATGATAGTCTTGCAAGACACATGTTGTTTCACAGCTCCCCCAGGAGATGAAAGTCTTGCAAGACACATGTTGTTTCACAGCTCCGCCAGGATATGATAGTCTTGCAAGACACATGTTGTTTCACAGCTCCCCCAGGATATGATAGTCTTGCAAGACACATGTTGTTTCACAGCTCCCCCAGGAGATGATAGTCTTGCAAGACACATGTTCTGGGTTCAGCATAAAGACAGTGGAGAACTGTCTGGCTCACACCTATTTTATGAGTGTACTGAGTCTGCAATGCAAAGTACATAAGAGCACAATGATGACTGGGTCTATTGTATTCAGATGTTTAAGGAACAGAAAGTCCTAATACTGGATTAGACATCTGAGAAAGACCATTAGAGGAAGACACTACCTGGCACTCTTCCGAATTCCAGTTCCAAATTATTCACTGTTAAAAAAAAATCCCATTCAGGGTACAAAAAATCATATATTTAAAAGTCTGGAAAAGGAACACTACGAACACGTTATTATATAATTTCATCTGAACCCAACTTTTGAGTCTTCGGTAGTACAGTTCAAGTATTCTGCCTGTCACCTGCGTGACCAGTGTTTGTTTCGCTGCCAGGTGAAATTTTTTTTTTTTGGGTGCTTAAAAGGGTGGTTGGCACGTTGTGTTGTAGTTTACAGCTAGGCTGCAATATATGCGCCTTTCACCCCAACACTTAACATTTCAGAAAAGTCCTAATTAGTCGCCTTTTACAACTTTACAGCTTTTTAGGTGGCAGTGGATCGATTCTTATTTTTATCCCTCAAACATGTGACCCTGGAACCCACAAAGGTAGTCACGGGTAATGTGTACAATAGATCAAAAACTACTCCTCCCCATATCACTTTTATAGATCAAAAACTACTCCTCCCCACCAGGCTTAGCTTAACGTCTAAACATTGCTATCCATCGAGCAATAACGGCAGAAGTGCAAACTGATGATGATGGCCTAAATGTTTTTAACTACATAACCTCTTGAGGCTCTCAAAGGGATGTTTTTCGCAGTGAATAATTTGGGATCGGTATTCGGAAGGGTGCCGACAACTTATATCAAACCAGATTATCGAGTAAACAAATACCTTAATGAAGTCCGTCATCTCACTCAGGGCAATCAGAACATAAGCTGTCAGGGGGACTCTGTGGGTGACCATCAAGTCATCCTTCATGTCGCGCAGGGAGCTCTGAATGGGCAGAAACACTTGGATGAACTCATTAGATACGTAATCATGATGTTTAAGATGCACTGTCCATTAATATTTATTCACAGTCTGTACGAAGACTAACTGTTCCACCTCTCTGAATTTTCACACGTTGATTACACTGAAACCTTCTGCCCTGGTAAAGCTAAAAAAAAAAGGGGGATCATGACCCCATGGAAATTCTCGAATAAAATCCTTTAAAAACAACAATTTCACATAGGTCATTAATAAATGGTGTATAAATTATGTACATTTTAAATTCTGTGTGTGCGCGCGCGCGAGCAAGAGAGAGAGAGAGAAAGAGAGAGAGACAGAGAGACAGACAGAGAGAGAGAGAGAGAGAGAGAGAGAGAGAGAGAGACAGAGACAGAGAGAGAAAGAGAGAGAGAGAGTCAGAGAGAGAGAGACAGAGAGAGAGAGAAAGTGAGAGAGAGAGAGAGATATAAAGATACATAAAAGGGAATAATTAATAAACATGAACAGATTGAAGCACAAAATGGAATACATTCCCTGGGGCCTAAAAGTATATGTCCTGGGTGACTCAGGTCATGACCTCTGCCACTGATACAATCAAATTTGACATCAACTTGGGTATTTAAAAAAAACCATTATGGTTGAAGACTCCCCCCCCCCCCCCCCCCCCCCCAATTGTCTTCTGTTCCCTCAAATGCTTTTTCCAGATAATATACTCATATTCTGATCTCAGAAATGTTTGCCCAGGTGTGAACAGAGCCAATAGCATTAACTATGTCACATAAACAGACCACTATAGACAAGTCGGAAAAGTAAGATGTATGGGGAATTGGCATCAATCGGAAATGTCAATTTCCGAGCAGGGTTAAGTGAATTAATTTTCTCATAAGCCTGTGCTACTGGGGTTCTTAGGGGAGCAAATAATTGGTACAGATGACCAGCCAAGCGGTTAGAATGCTGAGCTCTGATACAGGAATCTGCATTCCACTTATCAATAAGGTGATGGAGATATTCTTGTTGGGGGCAAAAATAAAAATCCCATTCTGCAATGTCTGTGACAAGTGCCCTACTCATGCGGCTCAGGTAGACAAGACTGCAGTGGTCATTCCTCAGATGAAAGATGGTAGTTTGATTCAGTCTTTGAAGTTTGTGGATTGACCTGGGTCAGTTATTCATGACTCTAAAATAGGTGTAAAAAATACAGAAAAATATCTTTTTTCCACACTCCAATGCATACTAGGTTTATAGAGAACAGCCTTTTTTTTTTTTTTTTAAATTTACCTCCTATAATATTTCCTGGTATGAATTTTAGGCTGGGTCATCCTGGGAATCAAGATCAATCTTTAACCTAGTCACCTCAGTGACCCAAGAAAAAAACCAATGCTAATGGCGTAACTAGGATATTACTTTTATTAATTTTTTTTTTTTTTACTAATTTCAATTTTATTTATGTACCTCTAAACAATGTGAAATTCCAAATATAAAATGGGGAATCCTCAGTAAACATTTATAAAGCAGAGAATTAACTGGGTCACATCTCTGTGAGCCTAAAAATAACTCATGTTTGTCCTTATGACTCAGTCACAGGTTAATATGGTGACCACCGGAAAATTATGCCACCCTAATTTCTATTAATAAAGCCATTTTTCACAGGAAAACCCCTCTTAATGAAACTTTTAGTAAATGTAGTAATTCCTAGACTTTCTAAATGTGTGAACAAGCACAAGCATAGACAAAGCTTTTAGCTTGGTGTCTAATGAACAGACCATTAAAGCTAAGTCAGAAAAGCGACTCTCTCTGGAAATTAGACCCAACTGGAAGTGTCACTTTTGCGGTTTCTCAATAGGAATTTGAACTTCTGACCACTGAAGTTCTTAAGGGTCTCATGACAATGAATAATGCTTTATTCTTCACAGTATCTTCTTCTTTTCCTTTCGTTTATCCGAGTGACAGAACTGTGCTGTGATATCTGTGCCTCTCGGCCAACACATCTGACTTTAACAGGCATTAGCTCACTGGGTTAGCCTTCCCATTTGGTTTCATGGGACACTGTGTGGCTTTATTTGTAGGGTGTCCTCTCTGTCCCTTTATCTACTCTGCAGAACCCATCTAGGGCAACCTCGTGTAGACTGGTCGGCCCTCAGGGAAAGGCTGGGACAGATCACGTATATTCCCCCATCATCCAAGCAGCCTTCATAGATGCAGAGTCAACACATAAGGCTCTGGTCCTGGGCTCACCCAAGGAATCGGCACATCCTGCACATGACTGCTTATCCCCACATCTCTATGTTGAGCTTCTCACATCCACTGGAAGCAACAAGGAGCAGGTTGCATGTCAGGGACTTCCATGAACGCACAAATGGGCACATTCTTCTTCAGCACTTTAACGTTGTTTCATCTGGACACTTAGCACAACAATATTGAAAATGAATGCATCAGGCTAGCTTTCCTTATATGGTCCTGAACCTTTGGTGAGTGGGGCTAATCGTAATGAAAATTTACATCTTTCTGTCAAACAGCAGGACTTTTGATGGTCAGACTTTGTTACTATGCCACAGGACATGACTAATTGACATTTGAGTCTAATCAGCCGACAGAGAGTGGCAGATTGTTATGGTGTATCTCAACACAGTTATGACGATGTTCAGGATTGATGGAGATGGGACTCTGTCGTGAGACACCGCCCGCAGGAGATGCTGCTCCTTTTAGCTGCGAACAAATCTCTTGGTCTACGGCTGAGTCCCAACAGATCAGTAGTTCTTTTACTCATTGACATTTGAATCACAGTTTGTCATTTGGTAGGAAGTTCAGTCAGTGAGCTCCACTCATGTTCCAAAAGAGTTTTGATAGATGTTTTCACCCAGGCATTGGGGGGTGGGCTGGTGAGAGCCAGAGGATTTCTGGATACTGCATCTCTGAGGGACACCTACTCTGAGATCCCCTGCCGGAACGATTGAGGCCCATATAAGCTATTATCCGTAGCACACAACGAGTACGTCTGGCAGGAGTCTTATGTGAGGATCCCTAAAACCAGCACAGAGCCTGCCAGTGCCCGAGGTGAGGTACGGAGTATCCCCTTATACACACCACACTGGCCTTAACTTTTCCTTATGCCTGCAAACTAAATCACCGCGCTATACTTCACAAAATAACAGCAGGTAGGTGGAGATATGTCAGTTCTGTGGCTAAGTCGATGCGAACACTTTGTAATGCCGGGATGCCAGGTTTGATCCCAGCTGCGGGCTATGTACATTGCGTTGGTTTTGACAGTGTTATCAAGAAAGCCGACCGTCCAGAAAATAATGGCAAACTACTGGACGTAAATTTGCCTAGAAAAACCACACAACAGCCAGGGGCTGTTGGGGTTGGTTCTGCAACGTCCTGTAGAGGATACACAACTAACTTAGGTGGAGATACAAAAGAATGTTGAGAAAGTCCTTGTTATTTTACCAGCTTTCTGTCGTAAGCCAAGTCATCAGGGTGTGGATCAAAGGCCCCTGTTGTGAGATTTTGCTGCGTACAAATGTACTCCACAATCTGTGCCACCAGAATTTGTGGGATGTACAGGTCCTGCTCCCAGTCGCCGACAACGCCAGCCTGAGCCAATGTCTTTCCTATGAATGCTGTTAACCTGACGACAGTAAACAAACAAAAACATATTTATCATACCTTGAATTTTGAGGTAAGCATGACCCTTTCACCCTAGGAAACACTTCAACAAAAAACATATTTATCATACCTTGAATTTTGAGGTAAGCATGACCCTTTCACCCTGGGAAACACTTTAACAAAAAACAAACAAAAACATATTTATCATATCATGAATTCTGAGGTAAGTATGATCCTTTCACCCTGGAAAACACTTCAACAAAAAAAAAAAAAAAACATATTTATCATACCATGAATTTTGAGGTAAGCATGACCCTTTCACCCTGGGAAACACTTCAACAAAAAACAAACAAAAACATATTTATCATGCCATGAATTTTGAGGTAAGCATGATCCTTTCACCCTGAGAAACACTTCAACAAAAAAATATTTATCATACCTTGAATTTTGAGGTAAGCATGACCCTTTCACCCAGGGAAACACTTCAACAAAAAACATATTTATCATACCTTGAATTTTGAGGTAAGCATGACCCTTTCACCCTGGGAAACACTTCAACAAAAAACAAACAAAAACATATTTATCATACCATGAATTTTGAGGTAAGCATGATCCTTTCACTCTGGGAAACACTTCAACAAAAAACAAACAAAAACATATCTATCATACCATGAATTTTGAGGTAAGCATGACCCTTTCACCCTGGGAAACACTTCAACAAAAAACATATTTATCATACCTTGAATTTTGAGGTAAGCATGACCCTTTCACCCTGGGAAACACTTCAACAAAAAACAAACAAAAACATATTTATCATACCATGAATTTTGAGGTAAGCATGACCCTTTCACCCTGGGAAACACTTCAACAAAAAACAAATTAAAACATTTTTATCATACCATGAATTTTGAGGTAAGCATGACCCTTTCACCCTGGGAAACACTTCAACAAAAAAACATATTTAACATACCTTGAATTTTGAGGTAAGCATGACCCTTTCACCCTGGGAAACACTTCAACAAAAAACAAACAAAAACATATTTATCATATCATGAATTCTGAGGTAATTATGATCCTTTCACCCTGGAAAACACTTCAACAAACAAAAAAACAAAAACATATTTATCATATCATAAATTCTGAGGTAAGTATGATCCTTTCACCCTGGAAAACACTTCAACAACAACAACAAAAAAAACATATTTATCATACCATGAATTTTGAGGTAAGCATGATCCTTTCACCCTGGGAAACACTTCAACAACAAACAAAAAAAAACATATTTATCATATCATGAATTCTGAGGTAAGTATGATCCTTTCACCCTGGAAAACACTTCAACAACAAAACAAAAAAAAAATACATATTTATCATGCCGTGAATTTTGAGGTAAGCATGATCCTTTCACCCTGGGAAACACTTAAACACACACACACAAATGGGGCCATAACCCTTTTGGAGTGCCAGAAGAAGAAAAAAACATCTTAAAAAAGTAACACATTTTACATAGGTCACTAATAAATTTGTATCTACTTTTTCTTTTCAAATATACAGATGTATGAATGCAGTAATCAATAAACACAATAAAACAACAAAAACACAGGCAGTAAAACTTACCAGACGTTAGATTTTGCATCATCTCTGAACATTTTGAATGAGCCATCTTCTGCATTCATGTAGCTGAATATCCTCTGCAGCACTGAAAATATCAGGCACAGGTTATTTTTTAGGAAGTTTTAAAACAAAATGAAAGTAAAATACCCTACTACTTCCATGTAATCTTCAGGATATAACATCAGGCCTGTTTTTTCCTGACCAAACAACAGTTGAAGGGTATCATGTTGAAAGCTTTACCTAGAAAACACCAACAGAAAAACAATTCTGATGTATTCAGAAAACCAAAGACCATCTTTCGTCTGTTGCACGCTACCTTTTGAACTCCTGATATGCTGCAAACAAGGACAGGGCATTTCGTATTCTTAGCAGAGTGCTAAGCTTTCTTGAGGAAGCCACTATTTGTCACTTCCGTCAAGAACTTTGTAAACAGAAGGACTTGATAGTGAACCTGCACTGGCCCTGGTAAAACAGGCAGTTTCTCCAGGAAGAAATACATTTCTTTCTGTCAAGGATGTTTTGCACAAATATCTTCACTTTTTAAATTTAATAATCCCACAAATTTAAATCTGTATCATCCGTGCATGTATCATAAGAATATAAAGTGAACAGAAAATACCATGGACGGCCAGGTTTCTTTAAAATTTGCTGAGTATATAAAAAAAATTTAAAAGTTTTATATACATGCATTGTTAGGAACACATAGGGAAGAGCCAGTCGCATATCACATGTCCCTTAGGATGAAAGAGTTAACTGTAAATTTAAAAATCTGAATGGTTGAATTTGTATTATAGTTTGTAAATGGTTTCCTTATTTGCTTACTTTTATTTAATCATTACAGTAGTTTGCATCCATTATGTCAAATGACAGAGAGGTAAAAACTATAGACACAAGGGAGATGAATGGTCGTAGTCCACAAGGCAGACCAAGAAGCAATAGACAGATAATGTCCAGATAGATCTGCAGACACGTGGTGTCACCAACTGGAAAGAGAAGGCCAACCAGAGAGATGAGTAGAGGCGGGTTATATCTGCAGCAGGGAACCTCAAGGGCATGGAAGAAGAAGAAGAAGAAGAAGAAGAAGAAGAAGAAGAAGTATTTGCCCCTGATAAAATGTAGCGAAATATGCCAGGCAATAAATTGTGCAATGTATTTTGTTTGACTTATTTGTTCAAGCATAAAGTTTATAATAAAGATTATTTTTAGTTAAATATATATAGTATTTTTCTGTTATAAGACGTTATGTTTTTCCCCCCAAAAAGTTCAGTTCTTCTTCTTTGTTTATCCCAAGATGTAGCTGTGTTGTGCCCATTTACAGCATGGTTGCAATATTTGAGCCTTTTGGCCAAAGCCTCTGACTTCTGCAGGCCTTAGTTGAATGGGTTAGCATGCCTGGTTATTTTTTAAGCTTTTCTTCTTTGTTCACCAGCAGAAAGCTCCAGTGGAATGTCCTGGTTGTGCCAGGGCCTGAGTTTTGTATGTTCATCTGTTTTACCGGCTTACTTGTGTGCAGTTGGTTGTTCCTTGCTGCTCGGACAGATGCACTACAACTTCAAAGGGAATTCCCAATTAACTGACTCTTATGACATGCTTGTTTTCCCCACAGAGGAATCCTGGAACCCACACGGGGAATGTTTTTTTAGTTTAAAATTAGAGACCATCTTAAACATGAAATGTGATTAAAATATTTACTTATTAATTCTGGGCTAAAAATGAGTGGTCATCTTATCAAGGAAAAATAAGATAATTCATATACAAGAACTATATACACAAGGGAGCTGAATGGTCATAGACCACAAGGCAGACCAAGAAGTGATGGAGAGATAATGTCCAGACAAACCAGCAAACACTTGGTGTCAGCAACTGGAAAGAGAAGAGCAACCAGAGAGATGAGCGGAGGCTGGTGATATCTGCAGCAATTAACTTCAAGGGCTCGGAACGCTGAAGAAGAAGAAGAAGAAGAAGAAGCTTGTATAATAAAAGTTCAAGGATAGTACTTCCATGTCACTGTGGCATACTGGGAGCATGATGATAACATGGTGTTACTTTCTTGTGAAGAGGCAAGTGATGTAGCAGTACAATGCTGACTCCCTCAAGTCCTATATAGCTTTCTGCTATATTTGGGCCATGCTTTAAATAACAAGGCTATGAAAAACCCACTTTGAGGATGATATAAACCCAGCTATTTTCGCCCGGATGACGACTCAACTAGCCATTATTTGACCGCATCCCCCTTTAGGTCACCTAACACAAGCAACCACCATCAGCCTCTGAATTTAAACAACTCACCCACATTCAGCTCTTTCAGCACCGTTTTGGTTTCATCAAAGTCCAGCTGATTGGACGACCTCATAAACTTTAGTATCAGCAGGTTATATGCAAAGTTGAAGGTCACCATCTCACCGCTGCCGTAGGGGCGGTACAGTGTGTTCTCTGCATTCAGGTAATCTTCAAAGAAGCCAGGGCCCACAACATCACCTATTAAGAACAAGAAGCACTGTCGTATGAGAAAATCTGATGTCAACTTGGCTTTTAAAAAGCCCTAAGCTCAAAGGAAAACGCCCGCTAAATGCTACTGTTAGTAAATGTATTCATATCGTGACCTCCTAAACATTTGCGCAGGCGTGTACTCAGCCAATTACATTAACTTTACATTTTGTAAACAGGTCATGACAGGCAAGTCGGAAAAGTTACATCTACAGGGAACCGGACCCAACAGAAGTATCCGTTTTTCAGCTTCTAGGGGCTAAAGGGATAATGTAAAAACAAAGATAAACACATCTGAAGCAACAGTTTCAACAGAAAGCTCTCTGACTACATCATTATAGCATTTTTTGTGTGCACAACACATGCTTGAAGAACCATATGTGAAACTGAAGGAGAAATTTGATGCAGGGGTAAGATATCACCATCATCATTGTCCTGGTGTCCAATTATATTACACGACTCGCAGTCTATTCCTCCATTCCTGTGAAATCAATTCAATATCATGAATGGAATTCAGTCCAGCACCTTTAACCTTTCTCATGACCTTTCGGGTCACAATTTCTTTTGGGGGACTTTGCTTCTTCATTGGGAGTCGCCGTAGCGTCGGCGGCTAGAAGCCCGCCTGTGGATCGGAAGGTCATGGGTTCGCGTCCTGAAGGAGTCGGACTGTTTTCAAAAATGAATTTGACTCCCAGGTTGACCCAGCCTCGAGTGGGTACCAGGTGCAGGCCTGGGAAGTAAAGGCAGCCTGGGTAGTGCTGACCACATCACCCACCAAGTGCCGATTGGTCTATAAAAATATAGGTCAAGCCCTATATTCTCGATTCACCTAAAGGCGTGGGAAAAAAAGGGACCTTTACTTTACTTGCTTCTTTTTTGCCTTTGTTTTTCATTGTGTGAATGCTGGGATGCCGGGTTCGATCCCAGTTGCGGGCAATGCGCCTTGCGTTGGTTTCGACAATGGTATCAAGAAAGCCGACCGTCCAGAAAGCAATAGCAAACTACTGGACGTAAATTTGCCAAGAGAAACCACACAACAGCCAGGGGCTGTTAGGGTTGGTTCTGCAACGTCCTGTAAAGGATACGCAACTAACAAGGTGTGTTAGTACGTGCGCGCCCATCTGCTGATTGTCTGCTCGTCTCCAAAACAGCACTTTCTTCTTTGTCTTATATCTGTTGTTACCAGTGGTTGCCCAGACATTTCTCTTATTTCTCCACCCCTTTATAATTCATCCTATTTTATTTTCTTCCGGCGTTTGTTTTCAAATGAAGTTATCTTTCGTTCCATGTCTTTAATGTTTCTCCAACTTTCACTGGCATATGTTGAAACCAAAATAACATAAGAACTGAAAATATGTAACCTGGTCTTAAAACCATACAGTTTATAGTCCATATTTTGTTCTGGTTTTCAAAAGCTGTCAATGCTGTGTTAACTCTTTGAGTCCCAGGGGGTTTAGCATCACAGGCCCAAGGGGTAGTCAAAAGAGACGTAAAATCGGCACATCATGCGTTCATTGGGCCTCTAGGTAGGAGTCTATGAACGTATGATACGTTCCTTGGGACTCAAAGAGCTAATGTGTGTCATAATTTCTTTCTTTCTCTTTCCTTGACTACCAGAATTAGAGATACAGCCTACTTACCATATATGGTATTCATTGCGACTGATGACCAAGGCACGTATAAGTTCTCCCTAACCAACTGCTTTCTGTAGTATTCTGGAACATTGACCTTGAATTGTGGGATGTCAATGGATGGGAAACGGATCAGGTCGATCAGATATGGTGTATGGTAGTAGTTCATCACTCCATTCGGCTGTAAATGGATCACAGGAAATAAGTTGGTACTTCTGCAATTACATTTTTAAATAAACAGCATCTGGAAATTTTTTTTTTTTAAAGATAAAAAGTTAACTTTTAAAAACTGATGGTTTTATAAAAACCACAAAGGTGAGAGGGAAGGGGGGGGGGGGTTAATAAGATTATGTGTCAACTACAATTCACTGGCAACTTTCCACCTTTCAAGATGTTAGTTGTATGCTGTTATCTTGCTACTATAGAGCGATATATGGGAATCCCGGTGATAGTGAATGTGACTAGCAAGACCTGCAAGCGTTATGAAAAGTCTTCCACACACACAATGTGTATAGGATTTCAGGACCATTGTCCTAACAACAATTGAAAGAAGACAAACACTGTTCTTTGACCATGTAAAGAGAGGCATTGGGAATCATTATGACAACTGGAAAGATTAGTGGAAAGAGGGGTAGAGGCAGACCAAGAGAGATGATGCTGAATGGGTTGAAACGATGGCATGGAGGGATATCATCAAGAGAGCTGTTCCAGGCAACCAGGGATCATGACCTGTGGAGATGTAAAAGCACCTATGCCAATTGGCAGAGCACATGATGGTGATGATGGTGATGTTGGCATGTTATGAATTAGACTTATTTCTTCTCAAACATATCTGCAATCATTCTCTCATTTGTCCTGAACATCCCCCCTCCACGCAAAAGGCTGAACACAATAAAAAGGACAATCTAGAAGGTAGATTTTAAGTATGATTAGACCAGATGATATCATCATCCTCATCAAGTGCCTTGGCAACTAGCGTAGGGATCATGCCTCTCCACAATCCGTGATCGGCAACTGCGTGTATCAGTTCATGCGCTGACACCCCTCCATGCCATGACAAAAGACTGTCAAGAATCTTCTCTCACTGTCTTCCTCTGTCTCTCTTTCCGTGCATCTTTCTAAATGATATATAACAGAGAAAATATGACACGGTGATTCGGAAAGAAGAAGACAATACTTTCCCACACTATGATGCTCTCTAACGTCTAATGCCCATCTTCACAGTATTTAAGATTCTATAAATATTGTGCACTCATGATTCCTCATAGTATTTTTTTCCTAGTGCAACTGCTAAAAATCCTTCCTGGGCTGAAAGGGTAAAACTGCTAACAGAAATGGTTGAGGAATCTAACCTTGAGATTCATAGTTCCTACGTATTCATCTCGCTCAAGAAAACAAGTTGCAGTGACACGGAAGTTCACCAGGTTCTCATGAAGCTCCTTGTCAACCACAATAGGGATGTAGATGTCTTTGGACTCGCCAGGTTCCAGCTGAAATGTAAGCCAAACATGTTAAATCCCACCAGCACTGGCTACAGGCTTTAACTCTTTCACTACCAACCAACTCAACATATGTTACATGACTGCACTCAGGATAACTGATATCATTGCTGTCTTTTAATACAGACAGTTCATATAGTAACCCCTGGTATTGGAATTATTAGTTTAATTACTTCTATCTCAAAGTGCTGAACTCCTTCGGGCTTAACTATTTATCCATTTTGAGCACGCTATATTAAACAGACAAAACAAGTGTACAATCAAATCTGTCACCTACAAACAACAAATGCACCTCCCCGTGGAGAAAAGTGTAGTAAAAACATGCGCTTAGTACACTTGTTTCCAAAGCCAGGCGTAATTGTTGTTTACATGTGATATATTCAATTTTTATGCTGTTTAGTGCGTGCGTCCTATCTTTCTAATACTTTCTATGAGTGCTCATCAATACCCAAGGACAGGAGTGAATAGAATAATAGTAAGGGGGGAAAAAAAGAATCGAAATAACTAGCAGTAGAGAATGGATTAGTGTCACAACAAGATGAATCACAGGGAGTGAAGAAAACTATAATGTAGGTTGACAATACAGTGGTACTGAAGCACATATGGCGGTGCAGCTTTCTACACACTTCCCTGGCTTCCTTGGAAGTCAGACCACATCTAAGAGGCAAGAAACCAACAGTCTGCACAATATCAGCCAGATCTGTACAAAATATGTGCATGCAACACTCCAGCCTTTAGAGAGCATTTAGAGCCGATGAATGTGAAGAAGTTGCTAGGTAGTGAATAAATCAATTTTGCAAAGGACCCTTCTCATGTTAGAGGCACATCGGGCATACAACACTGGACCAAACAGCCCTCGCCGTGTGATTTGGCCGCTATCACGTGGCTGCCTACTTCCCTGGAGTGTATGTGCTGCCGACTTTACTGAGTCAAACTAGAAGCCAAGGTCATTTCTAAAATAAAAAATCTTTTGTGATGCAGATTCGAACCCAAGGCCTTTGGATCGTCAGTAAAGCATCGAGACGCTTCTCCGCCATAGCTTCAGATTGAATGAATTATACACATATCTTAGTAAATGACCCTTTTCTGCACCTGCAAGTGTACTGGGCAAACAGGGTTAGATATATATTTCACAGATCAATCGGCTCCTGGCGGGTGATGTAGTCAGCATCATGCTGGCCACCTTTACTTTCCGGGACCTTTCCTGGTACCCATTTGAAGCTGGGTCGACCTGGGAGCCAAGGTCATTATTGAAGAAAATACCTGGTTCTGTTAGGATTAGAACCCATGACCTTCTGATCTGCATTTTTGAGTCTAGCACCACCACTGCTCCCAATTTACATAAGCACACTTTGTGTGCACTCGCACGCGCGAATACATATGTATAACAAAGGGTAACTCATGAGAAACACTTTAGCTTACAAATACAAGAGTCTGGTGCTCTCCCTTGTGTGTGTTGGGTGAATATGATGTGACGTAGCCCATTTCTCCCACAGTAACTGCCTGCATGTGGTCTCCAGGATGCATCGTAATCAGGACCTGGAAATTCATTGTTAAGATACTCACACTTAAGACAAAACAAAATATTTCCTAGTATATTTCTCTATCCTCACTTTAGTTTAGCTGAAGCTGGACACAAACTTGCAAGTGACTGCCTGTATTTCCCAGTGTTGCCACTTTGGATATTTTACATCCAGACTGAGATGTTTTCCCTTGCATTTAGTTGGCGTTTTTGACGTTTAGATGGTAAATGTTTTTCATTTGGAGTGAATTTATCAAATCTAACCTAAGAAACAGGATGAAATTTGACCTCTTAAATTCTATCTTGACAATAAAATTCGGCCTGATAAGAGTAGGAAAAGGCTGTTCCATTTAGCTCCCTGATTGGGTATTAAAAGAAATTAGAACAGCTACTGTGTACAACATCAGAAGCTTTGGGAAATCATGAGGAATATGGGCTTTCCATCACATATAGTGCAGCTCATTAAAATGCTCTATCAAGACCAACAAGCAGCAGTCAGAATAGATGGAGAGACATCAGACTGGTTTGGCATCAAGCAAGGAGTCCGTCAGGGATGTGTGCTGTCACCGTATTTGTTCAACCTGTACGCCGAAAATATAATGAGAAATGTAAGAGATGATATAAACAAGGAACAATATGATGCCCTAAACATCGGTGGTCATGAAATACCAGAAATTCGTTATGCTGATGATACAGTATTACTATCAACATCACAAAATGGTTTAGAAAACTTATTAACCTCACTCCAAAGAAATAGTGAAAATCATAACTTATTTCTTAACACAGCAAAAACAAAGATAATGCATACAAACAAAACTGCCATGGAGAAGGAAATATATGTTAATGAGGAAAGATTGGAAGTGGTGGAAAATTTCGAATATCTTGGGTCACTGGTTACCAACAATGGTGACACAATGAAAGAAATTAAACGGCGACTATCAATTGCTCTTCAAAGACTAAAACAACTGAATAAATTATGGAATTGTACAGATAGAATTACAAAGGTCAGATTTTTAAGAGCATGCATCTTTCCCATTGCAACATACGCCTGTGAGACCTGGACACTTACTAAACAAGCGGAACAGCGCATAAATGCATTTGAATATAAATGTTACAGACAGGTTCTAAGAATATCTTGGGTAAAGAAAAGAACAAATGCATCCATACTTCAAGAGCTGAATATTGAAGAGGGTTGGCTAGTAAAGACAATAAAACAAAGAAAATTGAAATATTTTGGTCACTTGAAACGTCATGGAGGTCTAGAGAGAACAATAATGGAGGGGTATATGCCTGGGAAGAGAGGAAGAGGAAGGCCAAGGAGAAGATGGGTGCAGGATGTGGCAGATGATCTCCAGATGGGTGTATCAGACGCAGGACATCTTGCTCATGATAGGAAGGTTTTCCGGAGGGTTGTTATGGCAGCGAGGTTCCGCGAGGGACATGCTACTGAATGAATGAATGAAAGCATACCAGAGTCATTTTGGATCTAAAGCTTCAACTTCATCATCCAAGCTAAGTTTATCCTGTGGATCTTGTAACGCAGACTTCAGTAAAGATGAGGACAGGATTCTATAGGGTAAGTCATATCAATTGCTATGTAATTTGTGACTCTTTCCATTTGGATGTTTTTTCTAGATGTTTTTCATGCAAATTTAGATGTTTTTAGATTTTTTTGACTCCGCTCTGGATGTTTTTTGTCAAAGAAAAGTGGAAACACTGGTATTTACCACTCTTTGCAGTGTGGGAGGGTGGGGGGGGGGGGGGGCTCTGAGCCAGAGAATTAAGGGCCACGTGGCTAGTGCTGTCGCCATGAACTATGCAGGTTAGGATTTTACTTGTACCTCCTTCAGGAAAAAAATCAATGATCTCATTGAGGATTTGAACCCGAATCTCCCATATGACAGCCCAGTGTTCTTCAACCGCTCAGCCAAACAACCAAAACTTTAAAAAAACTAAACTAACCGAAGCATATGCACATGAGTCTTTGGAGTGCAATGGTTAAAACACTAGGCTTCCACTCTAGGGATCAGAGGTTCGACTCCTCAATGAGGCAGATTTTCCTAATTTATCTGGTTTCCCAGGCCTACCCACGTTAAAAATGGATAACATAAAGAGTTCTGGAAAGTATTAGTGGTCAACATGACATTGACCACATCACTCATCAAGTGCCTATTAGTATGTAGTCAAGGGTCATCAGGCACCATATGTCTAAAGAATATATAACTTCAATTAAGGAACATAATATTATACATGTATATCTGGTCAGTCATAATATTTAGTTCTGAATCAGGAATCTTCTTCTTCTTCTCTCCTCTACTACTGAAATTGCTCGCAGCGTCAGAGCAGGAAGACATCCATGGAATGGCTCGCAGCGTCAGGGCAGGAAGACATCCCTGAAATTGCTCGCAGCGTCAGGGCAGGAAGACATCCATGGAATGGCTCGCAGCGTCAGGGAAGGAAGACATCCCTGGAATGGCTCGCAGCATCAGGGCAGGAAGACATCCATGGAATGGCTCGCAGCGTCAGGGCAGGAAGACATCCATGGAATGGCTCGCAGCGTCAGGGCAGGAAGACATCCATGGAATGGCTCGCAGCGTCAGGGCAGGAAGACATCCCTGGAATGGCTCGCAGCATCAGGGCAGGAAGACATCCATGGAATGGCTCGCAGCCTCAGGGCAGGAAGACATCCCTGGAATGGCTCGCAGCATCAGGGCAGCAAGACATCCCTGGAATGGCTCGCAGCGTCAGGGCAGGAAGACATCCCTGGAATGGCTCGCAGCGTCAGGGCAGCAAGACATCCCTGGAATGGCTCGCAGCATCAGGGCAGCAAGACATCCCTGGAATGGCTCGCAGCATCAGGGCAGCAAGACATCCCTGGAATGGCTCGCAGCATCAGGGCAGGAAGACATCCCTGGAATGGCTCGCAGCGTCAGGGCAGGAAGACATCCCTGGAATGGCTCGCAGCGTCAGGGCAGGAAGACATCCCTGGAATGGCTCGCAGCGTCAGGGCAGCAAGACATCCCTGGAATTGCTCGCAGCAGCAGGGCAAGAAGACATCCCTGAAATGGGCCCTTCTGCTCGCTTTATATGTAGTACTTTTCAGAGTCTCCGATATTTCGGTGGTCCATCTACTGAGTGGTCAACCTCTGACTCTGTAACCGTTGGATCTGTATATACCTCTCTCTGTGGTGTCATGTCTGATGCCAATCTTGTTACATGGCCAAACCACCTGATCTGTTTTCTACCAATAAAATTTAGTATTGCTTCTGTGCCGTTTCTCCTCCTGATATCATCGTTCCTAAGTCAAACTTTCCTTGCTAAACCTAGCATAGTATGTAAACATTTCATTTTTTGTTGTGACTTTTTTCATTCTGTCTTCTGCAGACAGTGTCTTAGTTTGACATTGATATTATAGCAATGGTATTAGTAACTGTATTAAATAGCGCTGTTTTAGTGTTCATATTCACATGCTTGCATTTCAAAACTGGTGCCATCTGGCCTGTAATTTGATTGGCTTTATTGCATCTTTGTTGGATTTATTAATTAATCATGGATAAAGGAGATAAAAAGCATAAAAAACAAAACCAGTAACAAGAACTGGATGAACTAAAAACAGAGAAACATAATTACATAATTCCAAATGTGATGGAGCACAAAATACTTCTTAAAATATGAAAAGTCGGGGTGGGGGGTCATGGCATAGTTAAATCCTATGAGCAATACAAGACAGCATATTTGAAGGTAAAATACTGGGAAAAAAAGGATAAAGATGCATTAATGACCCTTTTCACACAAGTAGGGCTACGGGCACATGATGCTAGATCCATATGTTTAAAGAATGGGTGGGTAATGAGGTCAACATTACGCCCGCCATGTTTACTTTCCAGGACATGACCTGGCAGGTCTACTCATTTTAGGCGGGGTCCACCTGCCCAAGGTCAATTCTGAAGAAGGAAACAATAGCTCAATGCGGATTTGAATTCAAGACCTTTGGGTCAGGAAGAGGTATATTAAGGACAAAAATGAATAAAGTAGCCTTGTAGAGGTCTGTCAATACAGACATAATGGAACTGACGTAAAAGGGCACAAGACAGACACATGATATGAAAATAACAGTACGTTTTCAGATCAGCTGACAGTTTGAAATATTTAGTAAAGATGAAACTTCACTATCTGTGCTAAGGCTGTCCGATCTGAGAATATTCTTTCACTCTCTTCATCTCTTCTTCTTTTTTTACATCCGTAACTTTAGTGGAAATTTCTGGTTGTTCATGCACTTCCGGACTTTTGGTTTTGTTGCAGACTTGAGTTTTGCATGCACATCTGTTTTACAGATCTGACTTATTTGTATGCAGACTACTAGTCATTTGTCTCTCAGGCAAATACACTCTGATTTTGAAGGAAACACCCTTAATTATTTGCCTTTTACAAAATGCTTGTTGAGGAGGGGGGGGGGGGGGGCTCCTAATTTGTCCCCAAAATGGGGCCCTGGAAACCATAAGAGGGTTCTTCATCAATTGGTGAAACTTCATTTCATAAATCTTCGAAGCTGTTATATCGTTCGTTGTGTTCACCAGCTGTAAACTCTGGCGAAGGTTCTGGTTGCTCGTCTACTACTGAACTGCAGTCCTGCTCCAGAAGCTGAGTGTTTGCCTGTGCATCAGTTTTACAGATCTCATTCTCTTGAATACAGACTGTTGGTTCCTTGCCTCTCCGGCAGATGCACTCCGACTTCAAAGGAAGCTCCCCAATTAGTCGACTCTTACGACATGATTTTGGGGGAGGCAGTGGGTCTGTTCTTGTTTTCCCCACAATAAGGCCCCGGAACCCACACGGGGGCCAGCTGTTATATGTTTCAGTCTGTCTCTTTAGTTTATATGGGCTAAATCTGTCAGTGGTCTCTGTCTGATGTTTTCATACTGAGCATACAGAGGAATTCAGAATGAGAGAGCCAACTGTTGTATTGTGATTTCACCATTCATTATGTTAGATTTTTATATTCACAGTTAACACTTTCATCCTAAGGGACATGTGATATGCGACTGGCTCTTCTCTACGTGTCCCTGACAATGCATGAATTTAATTCTTTTTTTTAATTTTTTATTATTGAATCAGAAAATTGTTTAAAAAACCTGGCTCTCCCAGTGGTTATTTTTTGTTCACTTTATATTCCTATGATACATGCACGGATTATACAGAGTTTTATTTGTGGGATTCTTTATCCTCATCATGTGCCATGCCAACTTGCGTAGGTGTTCATGCGTCTCCACAGATCACGATCCCTGGTTGCCTGGAACAGCTCTCTTGATGTTATCCCTCCATGCCATTGTTTCAGCGAATCCAGCATTATCTCTCTTGGTCTGCCTCTACCTCTTTTCCACTGATCTTTCCAGTTATCACGATGTTCTCCAATGTCTCTCTTCTCATTATGTCACCAAAGAACAGTGTTTGTCTCTTTCTTATTGTTGTATATAAAGATCTACTTTCATTAGCCTTTTTCAAGCAATCGTTGTTAGTTACTCTGGCTGGCCAAGGTATTCGTAAAATTCATCTCAGAAACCACATATCTGTTGCTTCCAAATTCTTGTTAATTTGTTCAGTGACATTCCAAGATTTGCTGCCATACAGCAGAACAGGTTCTATGTAACATTATAGCACCCACTTGTGGGATTATGAAATTTAAAAAGTGAAGATATTCGTGCAAAACATCCTGGACTGAAAGAAATATATTTCTGCCCAAGTGGTTTATGATTTTCATTCTAAAAATCATTGAACTGCAAAAGAACTTATACTACTGACCACTAGTACTACAAATACACAGATAAATTCTACAGACATCTAATACTACAGACATGTAGATAAAATACTGATCTCTAGTACAAGAAACATATTTATATAAACTTGTTATGCCTCATAGACTGACCTCAATGTAATCATCCTCATACCAGTAATTAAACACGGTGATCCTCACGCCCACCTGCTCTCCCCATGCAATGGTTGTGGGATGTTCCACTTGAATGTACATGTACCGAGTCACATCGTACTGAGAACAAAATCACACATCTAGAAGGTATTCAACAGAAATTTTATACTAAGTTACAATTTTAGCTATGAATAAAAACAAAATGAACCTAGAATGTAACTAGAGAGTTTAAAGAACAAAAGACATACAATTTCAAGTGTTTGTACCAGCCTTTCTTCCTCTTCTTTTGCTCTTTATCCCTTACTAGACCACAGGCCCTCAACCAACTTGTGATGTGATTCTGTCTATGCCAGTGTGTGCAGCTCACCCCATACCATCCTTTTATTTCATCTCATTCTCTTCTCCCTGTAGATCTTTTTTTCTTCTTAGTTTGCCTTGATTTTGCCCAGTGGGTTCCAGTGCAGAGACATGCTAGTAATACTGTTATCATGATTTCCTTTTGTATTATCCAGTTACAGCATCCTTTCCTCCTGATTTAGCAATTAGCGCAGTCGATAGAGACTCGCTTTCAAATCCAGCTGCAGATGTTCGAAACCAGACTGTTCCCAGGGATCAACCAGCCTCTAGGAAATGGGTACCAGAGTTACACAATCTGGGATAAATGGAGAAATGTCGCTGTAGCTAAGGAGTTGATGGCGACAGTTTCTTTTCAGCTGTCCATACTGGTGGCAGAGCACTTAGGTTTACAACCATATGCAATGACGCTGGTTCACATCTCCCGATTTTACCTTTTTACCTTTTAGCAAAATTTGTTTAGTTGTCCTTCAAAGATCAACATAAGTGATTCTGTCATATCATTTCATTCCTTTGATTCTGTACAGGCACCAGTTAATGAATGTTTGTAGTTTATTAGTAACCGTTTTAGTCATTCTCATTGTTTCAGGTCTAGAAAGCAGTACCAATTTACCAGTGAAGCTAAATATTCTGTTTTGTTCTGGGGAAAAAAAAAAAAACTGTGTTTATCGCTTTCTAAGGCGCCCTTTTGTTTAATTATTTATTTGTACAGACAAATATATAACAAAGTACCTTAACAGGGGGTTTCATGATATTAATATATAACAAAGTACCTTAACAGGGTGTTTCATGATATTAATATATAACAAAGAACCTTAACAGGGTGTTTCATGATATTAATATATAACAAAGTACCTTAACAGGGTGTTTCATGATATTCATATATAACAAAGTACCTTAACAGGGTGTTTCATGATATTAATATATAACAAAGTACCTTAACAGGGTGTTTCATGATGCCCAGACCGAGATCTCTGCTGATGGAGACGCCATTGATAACCCAGGTCAGGGGATATTTAGGTACGTCAACACGGAAATCCACACGTCCATCCGGCCTGAATTGCAATGCAAATATTAAAACAATGCAGTATCATACTAAAAGAAATGTAGTAATTTACTGCAGTCTATGAAGTATAAGAAGATGCAGCAGGTCAAGATATTCAAATAATTTGGTACACTTACTAGTGCACCAAATTATGCACAGACAAGCACAAACATTAGAATAATGTGCAAAAAGCATGCAGAATAGAAAAGGCCAAATAAATATTGTGATTTATGAAATGAGGAATATCTTAATTTGTGGACACAATGCAGAAGATGTGGCAAGAGAGACTGAATACGTCTGGAGATCAGCAGATACAAATGGCGTCATTATCAAAGGGTACTAAGGCCAGTTTAAAACTTGTCTGCACGTTTTAGGAGGCCATAATTGTGGACACAATGCAGAAGATGTGGTAGGAGAGACTGAATATGTCTGGAGATCAGCAGATACAAATTGCATCATTATCGAAGGGTACTAAGGCCAGTTTAAAACTTGTCTGCACGTTTCAAGAGGCCACATGTGTAAATCCGTTAAATACTTCTTTCACAATATCAGTTTAAAATCCCAACAATCATACTCAGTGACTATATATATAAATAAACACAATGTCAAGGAGAGAAAGGTGTCAAAGAGAGTGATGAAAGATTTTTATAATTTCGTTGCCCAGTTTCTGAGTTCTTGCATGGCGTGACACTGTGAGCTACGTGTGTTTTTCGTTGGCACAGGAGCGGAGCAACCATGGGGTGACCTGTTTGCTATGAAGATGAAACTAGGATTACCAGATTACCACATTACCAGATGAAAGGTTACAAAAGCGATCATACTTGACAAAGATTTCTTGCCAGGCCCAGCTGCTGTTGTCATAGTGACGCATGACACGGCTGATTCTATCAAGTGGTGACTTATGCATCATCTGTACCTCCTCATAAACACCTAGGGAAAGACAACAACTGATCGTAACTGTGTCAAGAAGATGACTTTTTTACCACAAACACCGTTCATGAATAGAAACAATATTTAAAAAAAAAAGGTTAATTGTATTTTTGAACAAATTAAATAAACAATTAACAATCAAGATTATTTTACAGAGTGAAGGTGTTAATGGGTTTCTTCTCAGACATTTAGCTTTTAACGTTTCTGCAAAACCCTTTCTCCTTTATTCCCATTCTCCTCCTGATTCCCAGTCCATGCTACAGAAGTGCAACAACACTCTGTGCTGCGCGTGTGTGTACACATACTTAATTACACAAACACACATATATGGATGGATGTATGTATCACACCTCTCTTCTATATTTGCAGTAACTATTCGTATCACATATCTTGTAAAATGAACTTAACATGCATTAATCATAAAATACAACTGACGTGTGAAAAATGAGTAGTTAATTAATATGCATAATTAGTGACTCTTTTTTTACCTTTACTTTCATAATATTTATGGACAATATTAATAAAATAGACATAACACCAACAGATGTCGATAAACAGGAGGACTTCAATGAGCTGCTCTTTGCCGACGATCAATGCCTATTTCACAGTGATAGTAAACAGCTGCAAGACCACATAAACCTACTACACGACAGTTGCCTCAAGCATCATATGAAGATCAATACTGAAAAGACAGAAGTCATGAGCATAAGCAGAGAGCAACAGACCATCGACATAAAGATTCTAGATCACAGCCTAAAACAAGTTCAAGAATTTAAATACTTGGGAAGTATCTTTACATTCAATGGTAAAATAGACAGAGAGATCGAAGCAAGAATCCAACAAGTCAACAATGTCGCATACCAGCTTGCCCCAATTTTAAAAACACCCTGCTGTCCCAGCTGAGATAAATAAGACAAATTATAAATACAATCTTTATACCGACATTAGGTTATCAATGTCAGACTTGACATTAACAAAAGAACACGAGAGAAAAGACTAACCACCTGTGAAATGAGATGTTTGAGAATGGCTGCGAATAAAACCAGAAGAGATCGAGTGAGAAAACGATGTGATTACAAGAACTATTGGAACCCATACCCATCGTTAAATTTATTGAGAAGCAAAGAATGAATGGTTTGGTCACCTAATGAGAATGGAACCAAGGATGCCAGCATCAAGAGCATACAACATGAAAATCAAAACACCAAGAGGCAGGGGAAAACCAAGAAGAAGATGGATTGAAGGAGTCACGGACAACTTGAGACTTCATAACATCACGGCATATGAAGCGACTGAGCGCGCCCTGGCTCGGTTGCCGATCATCTGATAGACTGCGACGCCTAGCGGCACAAGCAGATTTTGACAAAAGAAGAAAGAAGTGACTCTTTAGGAATAGTTTGTTCACCTGCCTACACATCCACATATCACACATTACATATTACCACTTACATCCCCATTCATCAGCGCCATCACTTGGGCAACCATCAAACAACCCATTACAGCGTTGTGAAGCATGATAACATTCACTTTCAATCCCGGAGAAGCAAGGAAACTGGTCTGCATCGGATCTACAAACATTGGCATCTGAAACAGGAACATCACAAAACATAATTTTACAAGGAATTTTTTAAGGAATGTGCATAAAAGAAAGGATGACATACAGGTTTTGAGAAATAACATTTCACTGTAGTTTACAATCTAATTTAAATTACAGTGTAATATTTGAATCAGCTTGCATGGTCTGTAAATGACAGGAAAACACAAATATTTAGACACACATAACACTGATATGATCAACTGTTTGAAAAACAAATGTCAGATACACACCTTTATATGTATTTAACACCAGCATGATCAAATTAAACGAAAAGTCTTTCTTCTTCTTCTTCAGCATTCAGAGTCCTTGAGGTTCATTGCTGCAGATATCACTTGCCTCCATTCATCTCTCTGGTTGGCCTTCTCTTTCCAGTTGGTGACACCAGGTGTTTGCAGGTCTGTCTGGACATTATCTCTCCATCGTCTTCTTGGTCTGCCTCGTGGTCTACGACCATTTATTTCCCTTGTGAATACAGTTTTCACTTCTCTGCCATCTGACATTCTCTCAATATGTCCCAACCATTTCAGTCTATTAGCTATCATGATGCCAGTGATCAATGGTGACTTAAACATATTAAACCGAAAAATCTTTAGAAGACACAAATATTTAAATGTATTTAATGCTGGTATGATCGATTTGTATGAAAAGTTGTTATAAACCACACATGCTTATTTGTATTCAACCCATTCTATTTTTTGGCCAACACTATGCTATCAATGCCAAACGTGGACACTTACATCCTCCAGTGAATGTAAAATTGTGACAACAGAGATGAAATGCCTTAGAAGAGCTTCAGGAGTTTCAAGGAAAGACAGAATACAAAATCATGAAATCAGTCGAATGCTAGGAATAAAGCCAGTCTTACAGGTCATCAAAGAACAACAAATGAAGTGGTTTGGACACCTAACAAGAATGCCCTGGTACTATCTGCCACAGCGAGCCACACTAAAACGTTACAACGGGTATAGAGCCAGTGGAAGACCTCAGAAAATATGGAGTGATGGCATTAAGAACAGCCTTATAGAAATGAACATCAGTCCTAATAGTGCTCTTGACAAAGCTCATTAACGAATGTTACATCTCTCCCCCCCCCCTCCCCTGACACTTTGATGAGGTACAAGATGAAAGAGAAGAAGAAGAAGAAGAACAACAACCCTGGTATACCAATTTGTATCTTTTTTTAAAGTGTGAAAACTCATAAATGTTTATATGAATTCAACAGTGTTAGTATAACATGTGGGACAAGATTTTTTTTAAACCACCACAAATATTTCTATGTATTTAAAACTTGTATGGTCGATTTGGGAAAAAAAAGGTTTTAAAAATTTACACTAATATGTATTTAATACTGGTACATGGCGAAGTCAATAAGTAGGTCACAAATGGTTGTTTAATAACAAACTAAAGATGACAACAACTAGAAAACCATTAATTTTTTTTACACATACACTGTCCATTTAATTTTCAACATAATTTCCACCAACATTGATGCACTTGTAACACTGTTTTATCAGTTCTCTGGAGGGAACGGCGTGGTCTCAAGGTATGGTGTGCGCTTTGAATGCTAGAACTTCTGGGTTCAATCCCCGGTAAGGGCTGGGATTTTTTCATGTGGACATGGACTTCCAGTAATTCCCCCTGGTCTCTGGGTAGTGAGATCGGACGACCATGTGCACTGTTGCGCACGTGAAAAATCCCTTGGCAGTTGGAAATTGAAAGCAGTAGCCTAAAGGCTAAATTTGGAGTTGAAAATCTACCCAAAGTATTTCAGGATCCTCGCCGGTGCTACAGGGCCTGTACACTTTGATGAGCTTCTTCAGACTTAAGACTTGAGTTGGAAGAAGAATGGAGCACTTATGGGTTACACCCATGTGCCATGATGTTGATCCGTTGTTCATAACCTCAAAATCAGCTCTCCCAAACCTGCTGCATAGAATTGCGTGCACTGTTTTCTAAACACTTGACATTCAACTTCTTTCTTCGAACTGCATCATGAGGCATCAATAAAACTTTACTGTATGAATCAGCATTTACACTTTTAGTTGAAATCGGTTAAAAGCACTCCTGTCAGCTTAACCTTCCCTGTTGATGGTGTTACCTTTAATTTTTTAAACACAAGGCAAAGAAGGATGTTTTGATTGAACTGAAGCACACTTTTATTGGGGCTGGTAGTCATGCCCTCATGATTCGTCCCCAGCAATAATCCTGTCCAGCATGTCTTCTCTTCAATCTGCGTATCGACAGAGATGCTGCAATGACAGGCCTAATTATTTTGTGTTTGTCTGTCAATTGTCTGGGTACCCACCTTGAGCACACTTTCTTAAATTTCAACTGATCATGCATTATATTGTATGCTGAACCATGTGAGCACCCTATTGCAGCTGCTATAGAGTCAACTGTTACTCGCCTGTCACCTCTATTTGTCGCCTCCATCCGCCGTATGGATGCGTCTGTTGCAGTCTCAATAGGATGATCAGATCTGACTTCATCAACAACTTTAGAGCGTCCTTGAGACAATTTTTTTTACCCAGCTATGCAGTGCTTTATGGGATAAACATTTGTCAGCATAAACAGGAAGCACTTTTTTTATGAATGTCCTTTACAGGCAGCCCCCCCCCCCCACCTCACAACAGCATGTTGTTCTTTGAGGGTAGACTCTGTAAGTACACTCGCCATTTTGTTTCTGTGTTGCGAATGCGCAAGCAACACCTAACGAACGGAGACATAAAGTTTGATGTTGCTGTCACCTAATGACACCTTTCGAAACCACCAACTACATTTTCCTGCCATCCCATAACCGTAGTCTGGTAGTCTGGTAGTCTTAGTTTCAGCTTCATAGCAAACGGGTCGCCCCATCTTTGCTCCGCTCCTGTGCCAGCGAAAAACACTCAGAATGTCTATCACAGTCCCTTGTGGAAAGATTGACAGACTGCTGTCTCAGCATATCTAGCATACACTCGCATTAAAGCATATGGTAGCCATCCGAAGTGCTAACACAAACAGTCCAACATTAGAAATGCAGTTCATCATTGATGATAGCAGAACTTGTCGTCAACAGATCAGCAGTTGTCCGCGTGATCAATTTTAATACGGGTCCCGCAAGCATTGAACGACAGGCATCGCGCCATTTTCTGAATCTACAATTCACACCACCACGTTGGTCACAGTCGAAAAAAAAAACATTCCAAATGCAATCCGCAGCTCACAGGGTCACGCCATGCATTCAACTCAGAAGCTGGGCGACGAAACTATATCCAGTCTACAAATGGAGCAAAAATGCATCGGCCACCGTCCGGCAGAAGCAAAAAATTTGCCTCTGTTCCGAACGGCGCCGCTGTCTAGCGTCCATTTTAACCGGAAGTCCCATAACCACTGTGACTTACTTACTGACTTCCCCTTGTATGATCATTTAGTAAAATTTTCAGTTGCCAGAATAAGTGAGTACTTCTCTTTGTAGTCCACATTGTAACAGCAAATGGTATTCTTGTGGTCAAGTGTTTATTTGCCCGGCTCTCTAGCGTAGTTGGCTAAACCGGATTGCGTGGAGACCGCGTGACGAACTCCTTGTGGTCTGGGTTCAATCCTGGGGGTAGGCAGGAAAGCCTCATTTTCTCCCAGATTTATGGTATTTACAATGGAATCAAGGCCGAAAGGTTGCGATATCCATAATATATCTATAATACCGAGCCTAAGGGTTAATAACCCGTGGCTTCTGGATACTAAAAAAAAAAGTGTTTATTTATTTAGTGGGTACTTAGTCTCCTGTTGTCAAGATGTGTTCAGGCATGACTGATCTTCCATATAACAATAATCAGTATTCCCTTTTTTTAAAATAAATTTGAATGTTGGGTAGCGTATACCAAACCTGACATCCCACAGTATACCAATGGCTTTGGGTGGAGAAGCATGTTTGGGAGATTAGTAGCCTTGTCCAACTGAGAGAAAATGCAACCAAAATATGTCATGTTATGGCAGGGCAGATGAGGCCCTTAGCCTTGACTGGCAGCTGGGCTAAGATGGAGGCTCCGAAAGGTGGATAGACCACTCTTCTGATGCGACAGCATGCATTGTTCCAAAAGTATTGATGATACCTTTCTTTTGGGGTAGACATGGTTGGCCAAGGCGGGATCATGAAGGATGGGCAACAGTCTCTAGGTTACCACCCAGGCTTTGTGCTAGGGAGAAAAGGAATTTCATTTATGGCCTTAACTGTGCCTAGGAAGCATATCAAGAGGCAGCAGTTAAGGGTTAACTCTTTCAGTCGGGGAGGGGGGGCTGGGGTGGCGTCAGAGAGCCAAAGGGTAGTAAAGACAGTCGTAAGATCGGCATATCTTGCATTTACTGGACTTCTAGGTAGTAACCCATGAACGTATGATGCGTTCCTCGGGACTGAAAGAGTTAAGAGTGCTTGTCAAAATGTTCCTGACATCCCATGCTTTAATTTGGAAGACTTTTCTTAAGATAAGCGAGTTTGATAGTCACAGTTTCCAGCACCATGGGCTGTTACTGCCATGCCTTCCTACAACCACAACGGAACAGTGTTATATGGAAAGATAGAAAGGTGCCACACACAAAAAACTCATTCTCCTGAACTGTCTGCCACATTGTGGTGCGTTTTCTCACTCCCTACCATGTGGAGTCAGGATTTTCCTTTCAATGAGTTACGAATTATTTTATTTACAAGCAAGAAACAACTGGGTTTGATCCTCTATAATCTCCGTGTGGGTTCTGGGACCCCCAAGACAACAAGAATTGACCTAGGGCCTCCTCCACAAGCATGCGGGAGGAGTCAACTAATTGGGGACTTCCTTCAAAGTCGGTGTGCATTTGCCCAAAAAGCAAGGACAACCAACTACACACAAATAAGCCAGTTAAAAAAATGTACATGCAAAATTCATGCCCTGACACAAAGCCAAGCCAAAGTCCAAATGAACTTTCTGTCAGAGCTTACAACCAGTGAACAAAGAAGAACAAGAAGATCCTCTGTAAGAGATTGAGATTCTTTCTGCCGCAGGGCAGGCAAAGAATAAAAATCCTAGCCTCTACAGTTCGAGGTGGTGAATGAACTAGCCATGTGGCCTTCAATTTCCCATGCTTCCCATCCCCTTCCCTGCCCTACACCACCAAGTGGTAACAGTAACAATGGCTTTATTTTTTTATTATTTTTAATTCACAAGTAACATTCTAAACAAACATCAGTATTTTTCAAATAAAATGCTTCAATTCAAAGAAGTGAACAAATGTTTGGTTTTTAAATCTTAAAAAAAAAAACTTACTTGGTATTCGAATGAGGTCAGCATCTGTTAGAACTATGAGCCCTGCACTCTGGGTGAACAAGAGAAATAATTAAATATATTTTTTAAATGAAGATAACAGTCAAGAGGTTAAACAACAGTGAGAACTGTGACATTACTATTACTGTGATGATAACGTCACAACGGTATCAATGCTAAAATAAAGAAGTGCCATAATTGTGAGGATAATATCAAGTTTAGATGACCGGGACGATGTCAAAAAGATATAATTTAACATAATGGGTGCGGCTGAGGATGAAACGTTTTCGTGAGGATAATAAATCAGTGAGATTACTGCAAAGATGATATCATTCAACATAATAGGAATGGTTGAAGATGACATATTTTAATGAGGATAATACAAAGGTGAGATTACTGTGAATACGTCAAAACAGTTTAATTTAAGATAATGAGAACAGCTGAAGATGGCACATTTGTGAGGATAACAAACAAAAGAGTATCAATACAGGGTGAGGCAGGGATGTGTGCTATCTCCTCTCTAATTTACTACATGCATAGAGTATCCAAAGAAGCCAGTTTTAAAGCAGTCGACCCAGAAAATCTAGAATTGAAAAACTTTAATACTGTAAAGATGTCAGAATGACACTGTCATGGTGACAACCATCAAAGTTGACATCCTGCATAAAAAAATGAATTTAGAAGATGATGATATAAAAAACAATTTAAGTCAACATTAACTCTTTGAGTCCCAAGAAACACATCATACGTTCACAGGTTAATACCTACAAGCCCAATGAATGCATGATGCGCCGATTTCATGTCTCTTTTGACTACCCTTGGGCCTGTGATGCTAAACCCCCTGGGACTTAAAGAGTTGAAGGATGGGCTTGACATTTTATATAAAAGCTAAGTTTAAGAGGGTCTAAACCGATACCCTAGACACAATTGAAAGTAACTGGAGTAGTCACAGAGGTGTGCCGGAGCAATGAAAAGTGATCTTTTACAAAACACTCCAAAAGGTCCACACACAAAAACAAGCTATTGTGTTTTGTCCCAACGAGTCAACAGTGCTAGAAAAGCAAGAAACAGAACCTTATATCTCCCTAACTAGTCAACAGTGCTAGAAAAGCAAGAACCAGAACCTTATATCTCCCTCAACTAGTCAACAGTGCTAGAAAAGCAAGATGCAGAACCTTATATCTCCCTCAACTAGTCAACAGTGCTAGAAAAGCAAGAAGCAGAACCTTATATCTCTCTCAACTAGTCAACAGTGCTAGAAAAGCAAGAAACAGAACCTTATATCTCCCTCAACTAGTCAACAGTGCTAGAATAGCAAGAAATAGAACCTTATATCTCCCTCAACTAGTCAACAGTGCTAGAAAAACTAGCAAGAAAAAAACAGAAACCTTATATCTCCCTCAACTAGTCAACAGTGCTAGAAAAGCAAGAAACAGAACCTTATATCTCCCTCAACTAGTCAACAGTGCTAGAAAAGCAAGAAGCAGAACCTTATATCTCCCTCAACTAGTCAACAGTGCTAGAAAAGCAAGAAACAGAACCTTATATCTCCCTCAACTAGTCAACACTGCTAGAAAAGCAAGAAGCAGAACCTTATTTCTCCCTCAAATATCTCCCTCTTTATATAATATTAATTCTTTGGCACATAATATGTCTTCCTCTGCATATAATAAATATGTATACACTTTTGCACACAATGCCATCTTCTCTGTATGCATATGTTTATGTATGTGTATATGTATGCACACTAGGGTCTGAATTCAAGGTTCTAAACAGCAGTTAGTGCCAGCCATACTTAACAATCGTAGACTCTTTGTACTGTTCACCATGTAACAAATGGCTAAATCATCTTGGCATGACTCGATGACTCACATGGAAAGTTGTGTTTGCGTCAGTGCCGTAGTCATAACCATGGAAGAAGTTGTATTCATACTCGGAGTCTCCGACTCGCCACAACTGCTTGTAGCTGTGATTTGCTGGCTCGTCGTAGGACATCAGTTCGTCAATCAGCTGTATGGGTTCAAACAAACAACACAAGGTAAGACAATCCTATCAAGTGTGTGTAATAGTACAATAGAGGCTAGTTGCCCCTACACAAAAAAAGTCTCCATCCCTTATTGAGAATCAAACCTTGGTCTTCAGAATCACAGCCCATTGCTCTAACCACTTAGCCCGCCAGTTCTCAAAACCTTTATATATATATATATAAATAAACAGAGGGGGAACCTTTGAGGCCGTTAAATATTATGAATTAATCAAGTAACAGAAAGTGTATTGATCGGCACTCATAGAAATAAGTAGAAAGATAGAAGAACACACTAGACAACATAAAAATTGAAAGCTATAGTTACTGTGCCGGGAATTTCTACTTCTTTCTATGAGTGCTGTTACACTTTCTGTTACTTGAATAATTCATTACATATAATGTTGTTCTGTGAACAACAGAGTTCTTCTTGTTACTTGGTACCTGTGTGTATGAACATACTAGCACATTAGCCGTTCTCAGTATCTCCATGCTGAACATATCCATCAGAAGCTGTCTGACATATCTCCTTTCTTTGGTCCACAACTGGTTTCTGAATGCTTGCCCTTGTTTACCCATTTCCAGCAGGCGGTTGACTGTCTCTGATACCTTCAGCTCAAAGTCTCTACAGCGTGTACTGCATTCAGTGTGCCTGACCTACAGAGTTCTTCTGTGTACAGCACTGAGCTAATGTCTTTAATGTTGTCTATCAGCATCCGTATGGGCCGCCATCTTGTTCTTATCAGCTCTTCTTAAACATAGTGCCTGCGACCGCAGCTGCATTCTAGCTAAAAGCCCATTCCATATCTTCTTCTTCTTAGTGTTCACCGGCTGTGAACTCAGTGGAAAGTTCTGGTTGGCTGTCCAACTCTGTTGCGTGCACATCCGTTTAACAGATCTGACTTAATTGTATGCAGATTACTGGTTCCTTGTCTCTCAGGCAGATGCACTCTGACTTCAAAGGAAGCCCCAAATAGTTGATTCTCACAACAGGCTTGCTGGGAGGCAGTGGATCTGTTCTTGTTTTCCCCACAATGGGGCCCCAGAACCCACACATGGAAGATCATGTCATATGATCTTCTGACTCTCAATGTAAATGACACAAAGTACGGTTCCCACAATCTGTTTTATGGTACAATTTCTAATCTGGACTTGGAGGCCAAGTGGTCAAGCCATTTACCTTACACTCTGAAAGTTGTGGATTTATTGCACAGATCTGCCGTTTGGGTTACGAGTGTAGTTTTTATGTAGATCCCTGGGCATCATAGGTGGAGCTACTTAACACATGCTTTGTGCAACACTCTCAGCAGACAGTTAAAGAGAGACCAAGCTAAACTGGAACACCTGGTCCTATTAGATCAATCCTCTTGACTTGTAACACCCCGTGTGGGTTTCGGGGCCCCATTCTGGGGAAAACAAGAATAGACCCACTGCCTCCCCAAAAGCATGTCGTAAGAGTCAACTAATTGGGGAGCTTCCTTTGAAGTCGGAGTGCATCTGCCGGAGAGGCAAGGAACCAACAGTCTGTATTCAAGAGAATGAGATCTGTAAAACTGATGCACACGCAACACTCAGCTTCTGGAGCAGGACTGCAGTTCAGTAGTGGATGAGCAACCAGAACCTTCCGCCAGTGTGTACAGCTGGTGAACGCGAAGAAGAAGAAGAAGAAGAAGACTTGTAACTGTGTCTCAAATGATTAAATTAGCAGCATACCTCGAGCATGTCCTCTTACACATCAGTGACCCTACCATACACAAGTTACTTTGGTTACACACATTACACAGACACACACAAACAACGCAGACCTTATACTCTGTAATGCCATCATTTAGTCCTCGGTTGTAGAGATCAACCAGCATGCCACTAAATGCCAGATAGGAACCTGGATCAGCTTCTGCATTGAATTCAACTGTGTTTCGAGTGAAATCTTTACCACGATTGATTCCAAGCCTGACCTGTGAAAAATAGGGGTGTGGGGTAGTGTTACATTTCCATGTCACTGTAGAGGAATATCAAAGATATAAAGGAATTTCAAAGAATATAAGAACATCAGAAAACACCTACAGGTTTGACCTACCCTGAGAATTCAAGAATCTCTTCCTGGATGGCAAACCAATATGGAAAATCCCAGACACCCTGTTTAATCTAAAAAGACAATAATATCACATCACCCATGTTCATACCAGCCTGCAGTGTTCTATAAGGTTAGTTGTGTATCCTTTACAGGACGTTGCAGAACCAACCCCAACAGCCCCTGGCTGTTGTGCGGGTTTTCTAGACATTTATGTCCAGTAGTTTGCCATTGCTCTCTGGACAGTCGGCTTTCTTGACACCACTGTTGAAACCAACGCAAAGCGCATGGTCCGCAGCTGGGATTGAACCCGGCATCCCGGGATTACGAAGTGTTCGCATCGACTAAGCTATAGAGTGCTCTATAGGTAACGATAATGAAAACAACCACAAGTCATATTATTCTGATGGTTTCTATCAACAAAAAATATAAGGAATTCAAAAACAACTACCAGTCCAACAAGTCTCATATTTTTCTGGTGGTTTGTTCTTCTTCTTTTGTCGTCTCACTTTTACCAGGTTGCAGCACAGTGTCATGGTTTTCTTTATTTGTCTTGCGCTCCTCAAGTGGCTTGAGTGATGGATTTGTTCAACTTTTTGCAGGTTTTATCTACACCATTTATCCATCTCTTTCTGGGAATTTCTCTGGCCCTCCTGCCAAATGTTCTACTGTAAAAAGTCTCCATTGTAGTCTGGTCTGACTGCATTCTTACTAGATGGCCCAACTAGTTTATTCTTTGCTGCCAATATAATCCATACATGGTCTTATTCCAACTTTCTCTCTAATGCTGGTATTCCTGACCCTGTCTCGTCTAGTGTTGTTAGTGATCTTGTGGAGACAGCATATTTCAAATATTGTTATTTTCTGTTCTAGTGCTCTTTTCATTGTCCATGTTTGGCACTGATAACATAAAGTACGGATAAAGATGCTATTAAGCATCTGCTGTTTTGCTGGAAGGGAGATATCTGTGTGTCTAAGCAGTGAGGCTAACTAGTAGGTGATAGCATTTGCCTTCTGTACTCTCGCTTCAATCTCTCTACCGAGTTAATATCTAACTTCTTCGATGTGGATAACAGGTGTTACCAGTCCGACAAGTTTTATATTATTATGTTGATTTCTATCAACCAAAAGTATAGAACTTCAGAAAGAACTCCCAGTCTGTTGCTTCACTTCTCTTCCAGGCTGCAACCAAACCAACATCAACCTCCCCCTTCCCCCCATGGATGACAAGCCAATACAGCAACTAACACCCCATCTGACCCCAACAAAGTTATAACTGGGGGACTCATATTGTCTATGTGCAGTATTGTGTTGGTAAGGAGAATTAAAACAAGATTTATCTTATTCTGATGGGCTCCAAAGAACATTAGAACATGCCTCTTCTTTTCTGGCAGATTCATTGCCAATGAATTTCAGGACATCAGAAACTAAGTCTCACCTCATTCTGGTGGGTACCACTGAGAAAGAACGTCAGGTCATCAGAAACTAAGTCTCACCTCATTCTGGTGGGTACCATTGACAAAGAATGTCATGACATCAGAAACTATCTCCTCTGGCTCTCTGATGTAATAAACAACAATGCGAGCCATTGGCACCATTGCCCGAGAGAGTCCAATAGAGAACGTCTTTTGTCTGGTTGTCATCTCTAGCTCATATCCATCTATGATGTTTGACTGCGACACAATCTGTGGAGACGTGACTGTCACATGAGATTTAGACACGAAAATGACAACAGACTTCATTCTTTTTCTTCTTCTTCTTCTTCTTCTCCCCCACATAGGCACACACACACGCGCGCACGCACATACTCAATGAGGCTCTGAACCCACACAGGGATAACATACTTCCAAAAGTCAAAACTTTCAAAGACCACTCTTCATTCCCACAAGTTTAAAATGTGACTTTATTCTATGTTCATCCTAACAAGGTTGGTTAGCAAACTGTGCTGCAGTTTTCAACTGTGCTATAAATGTCTGCACATTTTGACCCAACTCTCCTGATTTCAGCAAACCCTGATTTAGTTGCAACTTACAACATGCCTGCCAAGGGGCAGTGGGTCTGTTCTTATTTCCCCCAAAATGAGGCTTTAGATTCCACATGGGAAATTATAACTTCAATAAGGAGTTCCAACACTTGATTCAGAACCACCATGTATTTATGAATAAAATGTATTTACACATCAGGTTTCAGCTGTAAAAAACAATTTCTTTTTTGACTACTTATAGATAAGAATTGCTTCCCGACTATTTATTATAACTAAATTAAAGCAAAAGATTTTTTTGTTTACACCTTCTGCTTCTTGTGCGTAGGGTACCATTTCACATAATTAACCAATTCTGCCAATTACAGCCTTTATTATATCACTTTTGCGGTGCAGGCGTGGGGGAAGGGGGGGGGGGGGGGGGGGACTTTAAGCATGAGGATTTAAAGCCGCATGGCTAGTGCTGTCGCCATGGACTGTGAAGGTGAGGATTTTATTTTTGTCCCTGACAGGAAAAAATACCCAGCCTCATCAAGGATTTGAACCCAGGTCTCCCTGGGCATTAGAGCCTAGAGTTTTAACCATTCGGCCAGCGGTTCCAATTAACAAACAGCAGTCCATTAAAGAGCCACAGAGGAAATGATTGGTCTTCTGATGAGAATACTCGGCCGCCAACCACCAGGCTGAGGAATGAACACAGAGCAGGGGAAAGACCACATTAAAACAAACGGAATGATGGCACCAAGAACAGCTTTAATGAAGATCAACTTATATAAGACATTTGAAAAAAGCACACAGAATATTTTTTGGCCAACACTATGCTATCAGTGCCAAACGTGGACCCTTACATCCTCCAATCTTCTTCTTCTTCTCGACCCTTCTGTCAGAAAACGTATATCAGGAGGCCGGTAGCCTTTATGAAAGCTATCGCGCAGTCCATATCCTCTGGTGTACCATACAGTTTTGTCTTCATTGTTGTTGGAACAGGCCAGATTGCGTCTCTGTTGTCAGCATACAGCTGACAGTGTTGGAGCTCAGCATTTTCGGGTGCCACGCTGCAGGGATACGTCTCCGTATTTCTTCCACTGAAAAATGTGAACATATGTTGACTAAATCTGTTGTGCCCTGTCCTTATTCTGAATATAATACACTGTCCCTCTCTAGAGAGGCGATGAAGTGAGTCTTGGGGAGAAAATCTGGTGTGGGTATCCAGCCACCTTTCTTGGATACTAGATTGTATTAATGTTTTCGTCTCTTGATGGGTTAAGTTGCTATTTGGTTGTACCATGTCATTGCCGCTTCTGGCCAATATGTCCGCTATTTCATTGCCTTCCAAGCCACAGTGACCTGGAATCCACTACACTTAGAAGAGCTGCAGGATTTTCAAGGAAAGACATAATACGAAATCAAGAAATCAGACGAATGCTAGGAATAAAGCCAGTCTTACAGGTCATCAAAGAACAACAAATGAAGTAATGTGAACATCTAACAAGAATGCCCTGGTACTATCTGCCACAGCAAGCAACACTAAAATGTCACAACGGCTATAGAGCGAGTGGAAGACCACAGAAAAGATGGTTTTAAGAACAGCCTTATAAAAATGAACATCAGTCTTAATTGTGCTCTTCACAGAGCTCAGCAACGAATGTTACATCTCCCCCTGACACTTCGCTGAGGTACAAGGTGAAAGAAGAAAAAAAAAAGCACACAGAATATCTCTCTTCCTCCCCCAAACCCCCACCACCTCTGCAAAAATGTGGATAAGGTACCTGAAGGAGGAGAGTACAAATAGAGGAAGAAAGAGAAAAGAGATATATCTGGTAAGAACAATATTTCACATTTTAGACTATTTAGTTCCAGCACATGCAACATTTTCACATAATTAGGATCCCTGTGGGTTGCACAGTGGTCAACCATGTGAATCATGCTTTGAAGATAAGGACTTCATTTTTCTACAGGGAAAAACTAGGTTTTTTTTCCTTCTTTCCAGCAGTGGAAAATGGGGTTACTTGCAACATGATGCTACAGTTCATCATCATCAAGTACCTTGTTGACAGGCTTGTCCCTCTTCGGAAATATTATAATGACCTTCTTATTTTCTCATTTCACTGATACCAGGTTGTAACCCAGTGTCGTGGTTTTTGGCATCTGTCTTGTGCTTCTCAGGTGACTTGAGTGATGGATTTGCTCAACTTTTTACAAGTTTCATCGACACCATTTATCCACCTCTTTCTTGATCTTCCTCTCGCCTTCCTCCTAGATGTTCTACTGTAAAAGGTCTGGTCTCACTGCACTCTCACTAGATGGCCAAACCATTTCATTCTTTGTCTGTCATATTTTGACCTAATCCATTTAAAAGTTACTAAGAAGGTGTCAGGTAACCTAAGAGATCTCGTCTGAATTTCGCCTCGTATTCTATGGAAAAATAATTGGCGAGCCTGACCTTGTACCCAGGTAAAATTGTATCCACTTGACAGTAATGAGGTGGAGGGTGCTGTGATGTCAGTTCTTAAATCAACTGAACTCAACTTGTATCCTGATGTTCCACTGAACAACAGGAGTGGTTCCCCCTCAACTTTCCCATTTCAGCACGGACTTTAACTCTTACTAAATAGTAAATATTAAGAAAAGTTATAAATAAATAGCAACCAAAGTAAGAGAAAAACTTGTGGGTAACCTGGAAAAATATCCGTGGGACAAAGTGGCTGACTGTGACATGGAATATCATGAATTCATTCACCTGAAAGAAAAAGATCATACTATAATGTATAGGTATAAATAATCGCCATGTACATTTACTCTTGTCTTCTGTGACTTACAGGTGTTGTGAACATAGTATCATAATTCTAACAAAGTTTTTGTTTTGTTTAAAGTCAGCTACAAAAGATTTGGTAGCAGAGCACTTGGCATTGATTTGGAAAACTGGATGGACACAGTAATGTTTAGCAAGCAACGACACACTGCCAACTGCCAGTGACTGTCTGTATTTACCACTTTTGCTGGTTTCGGCAAGGGGGAGGGGTATATGAGCCAGACGAGTTAGGTCCACATGGCTAGTGCTGTTGCCACAGACTGTGCAGCTTAGGATTTTATCACCCCCCTCCCCCCCCCCCCCCCCCCCCCACCCTCTAGAGAAATCCACAGCCTTACCAAGAATTCTAACCTGGGTTTCTCACATAAGCCACTCTCAGTGTGAGCCTTGTTGGTACCCTTCTGTCTTTCCAGATGACGGTGAAATACCGTGTTAGAAGGAGGCATGGGAATCTCTGAAAATGGTGATGAGCCATTAATTCCAGGGATGAAGCTCCTCCTCTTCACAGCACAAAGCCTGGGCAGTATTGTGTTGTCCATACAGCATGATCCCTCACTCGGCGTGTCTTGTTTACTCCAGAGGGAAGTGATATTTGGCACCTTTCCGCCTTTCCAGACAACAATGTTATATTGCGTTAAGCATGGGACTCACAGCCCATGGCGATTGTGAGTGTGACTAACAAGACCCGTCTGTGTCAAGAAAAGTCTTTCACAATGATAGCATAGGATTTCTTTTCAGACACTCAGCTCTCATCCTTTCAGCAATCATTTCTTCTTTCTCTCTCATTCCGCTCCTGATATGCCCTTTCCACACAACACGATCCAGGGTATTTTGTTCCCATGAGTCCACCTCAATACCTGTATCATTCAGGTCCTGCTTGCACACATCTTTATATCGCAGTAGCTTTATATCGCAGTAGATGTTTGCCTCGACATCTTCTTCCTGCCTTTAATTCACCATAAAGGATATCCTTAGGGACTCTGCCATCCTCCATTCTCCAGGTGTGACCCAGCTACCTGAGCCTTCGTAGACTGAGCATGTAAAAGACTGTTGTAGTTCCAAAGGGAACTAACACCAAGAGAATTGGAACAAAGCATGCTGCAGAAGCTGCTGGGTCAGAATAGCAGAGCTGTCTGTCCACTTGTTGGAGCTTCCCTCCAAGACCAGCTGCCAAATAAGGCAAACAGATTGGTCTGTCCAGGAAACATGATAACAATTACAGAAGTTTACAAAACCACTGCACTTACTTGAGGGTGGTAAGTGGAGGTTGTTACTGAAATGAAAGAATTGGTTGGTGAGTAATATTTGCTCCCCAACATCTGGATACTTGCGGGCTGGCTACTAGTCACAAAGTTTGGGTTGAGGTGAACATTCCGCGACATGACTTCAGTTGGGTCCTGATACGTAGCCTAAAAATATATCAGAATCTTGTGTTATCAAGATAATTTCACAAATGTTTGTCAACTATGTAATCAAGGCAACCTGGTAAGGCATACAGTCATTTTAGCAGGGACTTTTGACAAGCAGCTGGACAGTCTGAGGTTGCAGAAAATTGATCTTCTGTTTGCATACAAAAGTTGGGATGCAGGAGAGCAAACACAACAAAAAAGTGACAAACAAAAATATACATGTGATGTTAAGACTGTAACAGGAATTAAAACAAATTTTAATAAGTTAGCTGTGAAAAACAATTAAAGAGGTCCTATGCTGCAAGTCCCATCATAGAACAATATAATACTATCGTCTGTTGCTTCAGAAGATAGCAACAGGCAGTATGCGCTCTGAATGGGTAGAAAGCATTTGAAAATTGCACTTAACCTCCCTCACCTGGATCTACACACCAGGTCATGTGGGCGTAAAGGGAAATGAGCGAGCGGACCAACTGGCAAGCACTGCACTAAGGATTGCGGGGAAAAGCATGGACAGATATCGTCGACGCTGTACGGACTGGGCTAGTGGAGAATGAGGAATCCCTGACTAATACGATTGAGTGACATGGAAGTAAAGCATGGTGAAGCACATCTATGCCGTCTTCGAGGCTGAGATAGGAGACAATATAACCAGCTTCTCATGGGAACAATTAGTAGAAGTACTTTGGAGTGGCTGCTGCATCGGAGGACTGAGCACGCATAGGAATGCCCAGTGTGCAGTAGCATTAATTGTGATAACACAACTATTGTCTGGAAAGAGGGAAAGATACCAACAAACAATCACACATCATACATACATACATCACTTGGTGCCCAAAGAGTTGAGCATTTACATTTGCATATATGGAAAGAGAAAGTTACAAACAAACAGCGATATTATGAGAGAGACATGCCCACACAGAAACAATGACACCAACATTTGCACAGACAGATGTAAACTCACAGTCAGAGAAAATCTCTGAGCAGAAGTCTGTAGGAAGACATCAAACTGAGCAATGCCACCAATGACAGGACTAGTCTGTGCACTGTTGGAATACATGCCGACTTGTCCATCCGCATTAGAGATGGCTGGTACCAAAGTCACCGACCCGCCATCGTGGACCGGTCTACCATCATATTGTGAGACAGCAACCTGAAATAAAAGACGTAATTGATTCAGTTCTTGCAGAAAGATTGAAGGTCTTACCATGACTGTTCTGCTGCACTGTCTGATTTATGCTAGAAAGTCTTCACCATGTCCACCCAGTAGACTGTTACCCATAGGCACTCAAATCCCATCTTTAGTACATCCCCCAGCGTGTGGCGACTGATAACACTAGTTCTGTGTTGATTTACTTTTCTTCTTTCGCTACTTGTATAGTGTTCATGTTTAACGACACCTTTTTTGACCAGAAGTTCTTGTAGTCTTTTGAGTGATGCTGATTCAAGGTCGTTTCCTGAATCATCTTCTCGTCCTGCCTCCTTGACAGCACTGAGAATGTCGTCTTAGTCAACTGATTTTCCTGTACCTATCGTGGCCCTGCCAGCAAGCCAATCCGATCGTTCATTCCTTCTTACCCCAGAGTGTCCTGGCACACAGAAAGAAACTAATTCCTTTGAGATGAGATTTCATCAACGAATCCAACTATTTTTTTCGAATCCATCCTGTCTCTATCTTCTTAAGCCTGCTCATGTAATCACTTAGAAAGCACACACGGGAAAACTGCTGTCTCTCTAGCCACATCATTGCTTTTGTTATCGCCATCACCTCCGTAGTCAAACTACTTGTAGCTGAGGCAAAAGTCTTGCTTTCTTCTTTTAGTTTTCCCCTGAAACAGAACCGTGAAAGCCCATGAGCTTTGTACGTGTCAAATGACAGATCCATCAGTGTAAATAACTGCACTTCCGTCAGCGGAATTGTCAAGAATTAAGGCTTGCACCTCTGCCTCAACCACCAACGGGCCTTGTTGTTTGCAATCTCTACCCAGTTTTATGCAGACTGAAAAGGATATATCCAACTCTGCTGGTACTCGTATCCATTCCTCACCAGGTTCTATGTCCTCAATTGAACAAAGTTGTTGAATAATGCCCTCAGCCTGACCCACCAAGTATTTTTCTCTCTTCAACCTGCTACCTTTCTTCCTGCTGTGTCTACGACAGTCCTCAAACTATAGCCTGTTTAATATATGTATAGGCAGCCAGTGTAAGGTATCTGTGCAATGGATACTATCCCACTGTGGAGTTCCTGGAAATGAAAGAGCTGATAAACTAGCTAAGGAAGGTGCAAATGAAGAACAACCTGACATACCAGTCTCTTATCAACAAAAGAAGAGAATAATCAAATCAATCAGAAAGCCACCAAAACTGGCACAAGATGATTACCATTTAATGGACAGACCACAGCAAGTTATTATTCAACAGGACAGGACACAACCGACTTCGCAGCCACATGTACACAAAATTTAAATTCGGCAAATCAGCCATGTGCACATGTGGATTGGCCCCTGAGACAAGAGATCATGTCCTCTAAGACTGTCCCATATACAATACATCAAGGCAAAACGTTTGGCCAAGAGAAACGTCGGTGCAAGTCAAACTTTACGGGTCGCTGAGTGAATTACAAAAGACAGTGAAGTTCATACTAGAGACAACATTGAAGATATAGATAATCTATTTCAAGTGAACGAAAAAAGAAGAAGAAGAAGAAGAATATATGTATGCTCTATTGCTATGTTTAAATCCTGCTTCTTTCTTCATATTGACATTACTTCTGTCTTTTCGATGTTGATTCTCATATTATTTGATTTACATTCTTCATTCATGGATGTGAGGTGCTGTTGAAAATTCATGGCTGTATCTGCGATCAAGGCTTGGTCATCAGCAACAAGTAATTCGTTGATGTTACTATTCGTATATTACTTTACTGAAAATAGAATACCTGTATCATTAAAAGGATATGTTACTAACTTTCACTTTCCAGGCAATTTTCTAGTACCCTTATTCAGCAAGGTTAACCTGGCAGCAAGACAGACAATAGAGGAAAACATCAAGCTCACCTGAACTTTCAATATAGATCCTGGCTTGAATGTCCGAACATTCCCCCCGATCCACCGCAACTTGATCTTGTTACTGTAAATAATAGTACTTGCCCACCCGGTTCGGTTGATCCCAGAGTACCAATCAGTGACGTTTGCAAAGAATGTTACTTCTGAGTCCACAAGGGTCTTCTGCTCCCCGCCACGAGAGGCGATGCGAAGAAGCTCATCTCTTGTCCACTCAAACTCAAAGTGACCATCATACTGAAAATGACCCACAGATTAGGTTAATTTAACACAACAATCAGTGAAATGAAAATCTGATTAATAAATTGTGCTGATCTGTGAAAGTCTTCTTCTTCTTCTTCTTCTTCATATTTACCAGCTGCTGTCAACACCAAGGTATGCACGCTTATCAGTGACAAGTCAGATGAAACATTTGTGCGGATCTTCACAGACGGATCCGTTATACAAGGACATAAGAGTGCATGGGCATTTACAGCTCGCTCTTCAGGCAGAAGAGTTCAAGAAGCCAGCGGTGCCTTCTCCTTGACTACCAGCAGCATGACGATGGAGGTGATGGCGGTGACACAAGCGTTCACATGGATAAAATTACAGGACTATTGCGTGTGTGTGCTGAGTGATTCTCTGAGCATGATCTGGCAGGTCGAGGCAGGCTGGTTACTCACACAGTGGATTGAGTTCGTTGCAAAACTCTCCTGTGTGTGCAGTTACCTTCATATTTGTCCAAGGGCTTGCAGGTGTTGCTAGTAATGAAAGAGCTGATAGACTGGCAGGTGCCACAATTATTGAAGATGGCCAGGCCATGGATCACACAGACATTGTCAATGCCCTTAGAGAGATAGGATGTTCCGAGAATTTTGGAAGCAACGTGTCCACATCAATGCTAAAAATATGAGAATTGGGAGTAAAGATCGACACAGCCAAGCATGAGAAGCGCAATGGACACACACGCAGTCTTGTCAACCAGCACAGGACTGGCACTATTAACCCTGCGCAGCTGATGAATATGTTGAGAGGGTGTCTGAGCACCTATGGATGAGTCCAAAGTGCTGTGAAGATAAGCTGTCCAAACCAATGGATCTATTGTGTTTTTATGTAGTTTAGTACTGGTTCCATACCAATATCTTTCCTCATAACGTCATTTTTGATCCTGTCTCTACTAGTTGCATTTAGGATTCATTGTAGTAATCTGTTTCTGTTGTTTAGATTTTCTCCAGTTACTTTTGTTGTTAATGCTCACAGAGACACAATGGGACAGAAATAGTTGAACGAATCTTCTTCTTCGCGTTCACCAGCTGTAAACTCTGGCGGAAAGTTCTGGTTGTTCATCCATTTCTGGACTGCAGTCGTGTTCCAGAACCCTAGTGTTATGTGTGTGCATTGGTTTTACAGATCTGACCCATTATTATGCAGACTGCTGGTTTCTTGCCTCTCAGGTAGATGCAATCCGACTTTGAAGGAAGCTCCCAATTAGTCAACTCTTATGACATGCTTTTGGGTACGCAGTGGGTTTATTCTTGTTTTCCTCACAATAGGGCCCCGGAATTCACACGGGGAACTTAAACAAAAAATTCATAAAGAAAAGGTTAATATAACTTCTGTCTGTGATCAAATACAGAAAGAATATCATATTATAATTGAAATGACCAAAAAACATATGGTGAGTTAGTAAAGAGTTAACTTTTTTTTTTTAATACGCTTTTATTAAGTTCACTTTTTTTTGTTTTAAACTCACAACACTAGTTTACTTACATATTCTATAAACCTGTATTCATAAGCAAAATACAAGTGGTAATCTTTCACTGAAATATCCTTCATATCTTTATACTCTGGAACCTCCAATGGGACTCCCGCTGTCTGGCTGTTCTTGTTCTTCAAGGCATCCTTGTAAGGCTTCTCCCAACCTCGTGTTGCATTCCAGATGTCCTCACGTGGCAGAAAGAAAGCAGTGACTGAAGCATTGCCTCTACATGGCCTGCCACTTGTTTGACTGGAGAAGAGCAAGGATTAGTGATTAGAAAGGATTATCATCATGTTGTGACCACTGGAAAGATCTGTGGAAGGAGGGATAGAGGAAGACAACGAGAGAAGATTCTTGACAGTCTTGTTGCATGACATGGAGGTGTGTCGGCACACGAACTGATACATGCTGCAGTAGATCGTGGATTATGGAGAGGCATGATCGCCCACGCCAGTCGGCAAGGCACCTGATGATGATCATCATCATCAACACAGCACTCCGGACAGATCCATAGGTGCTCCAATCTCCTCCTAAAAAGCTCCATAAGTGTAAAACGACTGATGACGCATGTTTTGTGTTGCATGAGTGAAATAAAACAACAATTACATTTAAAGTAACTTAGCAGCCTGAACTACATGCCACTTTTTCTTGAAGGGTGCGAGAGATTTCATATATTTCTAGTAGAATTATAAATAATTCTAACCTAGGAGTAAAGCACGGTGAAGCACATCTATACCACCTTGCAGGGCCCAGATAGGACACATTATAACCAACTCCTCAAGGGAATAATCAGTAGAGGTATCTTGGAGTGGCTGCTGCCTCTGAGGACTGAGCATACATGGGGATGCCCAGTGTGCAGTAACCTCGACAGATAACATAACCTATAATTATACGCACAGTGCAGACTTGAGAAGAACTCACCGTGGACACAAGAAATGGTTCTTCTTATCAGAAATTCCACTTTTCCAGATAAAAGTTAGAGCAAGAAAGATTGCCAGGGATCAACAAACTGGTCTTCATAACAGAAATTCACCATATCTGAGATCAGCGTAAGTGGTCTGAACTCTATTTCTAGTAGAATTTTCATAACCTGGAGTTTCTGTTGTTTGTTGTTCATTTTTTTTTTTCAAGTTGATCATAAATAAATAATCATATTTATCTTCTCTCCCTCCTAGAGTTTCTGTACAGTCAAAGTGCCAGTCATTGCTCTCTCTCTCTCTCTCTCTCTCTCTCTCTCTCTCTCTCTCTCTCTCTCTCTCTCTCTCTCTCTCTCTCTCTCTCTCTCTCTCAGGACCGTCTGGCACTGGATGGGTAATGTGGTCACCATTATGATGGCCAACTTTTCTTTTCAGGGCACTTCCTGCTACCAATTTTTATCTGGGTCAACCTGGCAGCCCTAATCAATTAAGAAAATCTGCCTCAATGAAAATTCGAACCCAATACCTTTGAGCCCTCATGCTGGTGTCTAGCTACTAGACGATCACAACCTGAACTGAGCACACCAAGTCTCATTAGCCACATAATACTCAATGAATCAAACACCCCAAGGGACTGTTAACTCTTTCAGTTCCATAAAGTTTTGTACAAGAATACAAAAAATTAATTTTCTCACTAAATATTGCCAACAAAATTCTAACCACTTGCTGTGTTGCAGAAATGAAAAATAAAGGAAAGATACCTCCATAGCAGCCAGATTCATTAAGTATACAAAGACTAAAACTTAAATATAGGAAGACATTTGATGTGGTCTTTGAGACATGCAGGGGATAGTCAGTAACACATGATGCATTGTTTGGGACTAAAAGAGTTACGCAAAAACCCACTGAAGCCTCAGAGATATGATTCTTTGGAAAAAAGCTGAAAACTGTTGGGACAGCCAAACTAAGAAAATGTTCTGAAAGGGGTTAAGATGTAAAGAAACTTATCACAAATATCAGTAAGACAGAATCATCATTTGGCCACGTTGTGAGAACAGAAAAGCTATATTTTGTGACGACTGAAAAGATTTATGGAAAAGGAACAAAGGAAGGGTAATGAGAGAAGATTCTTGACAGTTTTTCTTTGGTGTCAGAACACAAGATGATTAATGCTGTTGGAGAGACACAATATAGAGAAGCATGATCACCTACCCCAGGGCTGTATTTAGGATGTATGATGCCCCTGTGCAGTCATTTATTTTATGCCCTCTTTCTGCTTAGCTGAATAGTTAAGTTTTATAGGTCTTTAAATTGTTCACCTTGTGCAGCTGCCCATAAAGCATATAGTCTACCTCTTTCAGGAAGCTGCTGTGATGTAGCGACTAGACACTCGCTTGCGGATCCAAAGGTCGTGAGTTCAGGTTCTTATGAAACCTGACTTTTGTTCTTCTTCAAAAATGAACTTAGTTCCCAGTTCAGCCGTCTTGAATGGGTACCAGGCAGATGATTTTGACCACATCACCCACAGAGTGCCAACCAGTCTTTAAAATATGGGTCTATGCCCAATACACCCGAAGGTATGGAAAAAGGGTCATTTTACCACTTCACTCAGCAAGATTATTAATGTTTATGATGTTGAACATGACATAGAAAAAAATTAAGTAACCTTCTCAGATCAAGATGTCAAGTGTAAAATGTGTCTAATGGCAGAGAAAGGGGTCTTACTTTGCTAATATATGACCTTTAACAACAAAAGTGTCATTATCCACGATATATGCTGGCGCTGTAACATTCACATCAAATCGTGGTTCCCCTGGAGAAAAAAAACATGCTAAGTTTAAAATATTTTTTAAAAAAAAAAAAATTAACATTATCGGTAGAAAAATACTGATAATTTTACAACCATGTTATATTCTACAAACATGTTAACAATTTCCCAACCACATCAGATTCTTATTACAAGCATGTAATTCCGGACATAAATGTATTTTGGATAAATTATTAGTAGTGAAAATGTTCACCCCATCTCATAATTCTGTGACCTAAAGTGTATAGAACTGTCAGCACTTCAAATCTGTTTATGACTTCAGTATGACGTCAGTGAACCTGCAGAGACTCAATACAGAGAGAGAGAGAGGGGGGGAGAGGGGTGGGAGAGAGAGAGAGGAAGTGGGGAGAGAAGGAAGAGAGAGAGGGAGAGGGAGAGAGAGAGAGAGAGAGAGGTTGGGGGAAAATAGACAGAGAGAGAGAGAGAGAGAGAGAGAGAGAGAGAGAGAGAGAGAGAAGGGGTGGAGACAGATAGACTGACACAGTGTGAGAGAGTGACAGAGATAGTAAGAGAAAAAGAAAAAGAGTGAGAATGAGTGAGCGAGCGAGGAGTGAGCGTGCATGTGTGTGTGTGTGTGTATATATATATAATCTTAACAAGAAGATACAATGACATCCATGTTCTATCTTGCAAAGAAGATATTTCTATATTTATGGTTGTTTCTTCCCCCTCTTTATTATTGCGTTTGATCTTGTGGAAAGTTACAGTCGTTTGTCCACGTCTGGCCTTTGATCTTGTTTCAGAACTCAAGTTCACATGCACATCCATTTTTACAGATCTGGCTTATTTATATGCAAACTGTTGGCTTCTTGCCTCTCAGGCTGATACACTCCAACTTCATAGGATACACCGCTAATTAGCCACCTCTTTTGATATACTTGTTAGGAGGTAGAAGGTCAATCTCCCCCCCCCCCCCCCCCCCCCCCCACCAACAAGTGAGCTGGAAGCCACAGGGAAACATTTCCATTCATCTCTTTACTAGTACTGCAGAAAAGGACATGTACAAATAATTTCTCCGTGAGGTATAGTATAAAGTTCGTATTTGTTTTGTTTTTTCATAGGAACCTGCATCTCCTCTGTTAAATATATTCTGATCCTTTTCTAAAACAAACGTTCTTTTCTGTCCCTACTTAGTCTTCATCTATCTACTTATAATATGCAGGCAGAAACAATATCCTATTTGTACTTTTCTTGGCTTGGGGAAAGATAAGCAACCATTAACATTAAACCCAAGTTTCCCAGAAACAAAACTTACAAAATTCCTCCACTATAAAAGGCCTCCTGTATGTCTGTCCCTGTTGATGGGAATTATATAAACAGAAAACATTCAACCACAAAGAATATTATCTTGTTCACCATTGTTCTAGTAATATCTACACAAAAAGTATGGTATGATCAATGTATACTTGTGTATTGGAGAGCTCTCTGAGACTCCAAAACAGCTTTATGTGGATATTTGTCTCTAGACTAATGTTCAAAAATTGACAAAAAATGTGATAGTTTTTAAAAACAACAAAAGAAGAGAATAATCAAATTAATCAGACAGCCGCCAAAACTGGCACAAGACGATTACCATATTTTGGACAGACCATAGAAAGTTATTATTAGAATAGGACACGGTTAACTTCGCAGCCACATGTACACAACATTTGTAATGGGCGAATCAGCCATGTGCACATTGGACTGGCACCTGAGACAACAGATCACATCCCCCAGGACTGTCCCAAACACAACATATCAAGGCAAAACATTTGGCCTAGAGAAACATCGGTGCAAGTCAAACTTTACGGGTCACTGAGTGAATTACAAAATTCACTCATACTAGAGACAACACTGAAGATATAGATAATCTATTTCAAGTGAACGAAAAGAGAAGAAGAAGAAGAATATATGTATGCTCTATTGCTATGTCTAAATCCTGCTCCTTTCTTCCTATTGACATTAGTTCTAGTCTTTTTGATGTTGATTCTCATATTATTTGATTTACATTCTTCATTCATGGATGTGAGATGCTGAGTGAATTACAAAAGACAGTGAAGTTCATACTAGAGACAACAATGCAGATATGAATAATCTATTTCAAGCAAACAAAAGAAGAAGAAGAAGAAGAAGTTTTTAAAAGATACGTTTGACTGCCCTTTCTGTCAAGCTACATGTGCACAGGTAAAAACTAGTCAAAGTTACAGAACATCAGTAGTGCCATCTCATTAAAAATTTAAAAATACTGGTCTTTTAACATCTTCTTTTCTTCTTTAGAGACTTCTTATGAGTTCAGCAAAAGATTTCAATGTGTTGTGCCTGTTTACAACATGGCTTCAATATTTATACCTTTTTTTAAAATAAAGCCCCATTTCTGCGGCTGACTAATCTTACTAATCTACTAACTCTCCACAACTGACTCAGATTTACAAGGGTTAACTTTGGGGGGGGGGGTAAATTTTTTTTAGTCTAGAAGATTTTGCAGCAGTTGCAAAAGACAGAAAATAACCATCATTATGAAAAATCGTGAATTTATCTGTTTCAAAGAAGCTAAACAAACGGTGGAAATGACCATAATGGAGCCAGATTTGTTTATTATCTACATAGATCTGAATCTTCTTCAGCTCCCTTATGGAGAAGAGGCCTTTAAACTACTACAGCCAAGTGGCTAACCATTTGTCTTCACATGCAGTGAACTATGCTTATAACTCTCTTCCTCATTTCTTGGTATATATTTATTTATTTGGCTCCTTGGGTCCTCAGACACTGCTATTAAATCTTGCTCCACTGATCAAAGCAGCCGCTACTCATTAGAAAATTGTTTCATCCATAGTTTTGGCATTCTTAGTCCGGGAGGGATTTATATTCAACACAGCTTAATTTAATTTAATTTATTTAACTTATTCATATTTCTACCCCTCTTTTCACATATGCCTTCTTCCTTATTTTGTTTCATATTATAGCCCTTTATATTCATAGCCCCCCCCCCCCCCCCCCCCCCCCCCCCCCCCACATTAAGTACTTCTTGGTTTCATGTTGACCTTTATTTTTTATTAGCTCTGTTGTCTTGCCCGTTGAATTTTCCAGTGACAGTTTGTGCTGTATTTAGTATTCCGCTGATAAAGACTTAAGTTGAAACATTTGGTTGTGTTCGTGTACATCTTTTCCATTCCCTCAATTAAGTTTTCTAGTCACATCTTGTGTAATATTTAGCATTTCTTGCAATCAGCTCGACTGTAGTCACACCTTTTTTACGTCCTAGTGCAAAGACATTTTAGTTGTTTCATTATCAGATTGTCTTAACGTGTGTCCAACCTAGTGCCTGTGTCTTTCCTCAACTCTTGATTCACTGGAATTTGTTTAGTTCTCTTTCTAAGTTCACCATTAGTGGTTTTAGCATACCATTTGATACGCTTCTTTTCTACACAGTATGCTGTGACAAAATATTAAAAGGTAATACACCATATATTATGTGACAGATGGGATTGAGGAGGATCCCATAACACGCCGGACTGCCAGAGTCATAAAACATTGATGATAATGTCAAAAACTAGTGTACTATGTTTTTTGTTTTAGTATCCAGAAACCATGAGTTATTAACGCTTAGATTCGGTATTATGGATATCGCAACCTTTCGGCCTTGATTCCATTGTAAATACCGTAAATCTGGGAGAAATGTGGCTTTTCTGCCTACCCCCGGGAGTGAACCCGGACCACATGGAGTTCGTCACCCGGTCACCGCGCAATCCGGTTTAGCCAACTACGCTAGAGAGCCGGGCACTAGTGTACTATAAAAGGCAGTCACCATGTCTGACTGCTGAGTTTAGACTTCTTTCCCTTGGTCTTCTATCAAAGCCAAAATGTACACCAGTGTACCCTTTACCTGAATAATATAACTTCCATGAAGTGTCTCCACTATCTGGTCATAAGTCAAGGTTCCAACATCACAGCAGATGGTTGCCCCCTAACTAATCTGTTCCTAGCCAGTCAAATAACAAGGAATGTCCTGCACTGTCTCATTTAAAAACTAGAGAAAAGCTTGTCAGTTCCAGAAAAATTTGAAGCTTCCACATGCAAAGTAAACAAGGATAAAGCAGCTGTTAGATGTGCCGACACTAGTGGTCCCATTCCACAATTGCAGCTTACTGTTGGCACAAATAAATAAATCACAAAAGCCGGCATTGCACCCACAAATGTAAATGCCATTCTAAGCGTAATCCGCAACCCTTCATTTTAATGCAGGCAAAAACACACTGCTGGCGCCCGCACACACGCACGCACGCATACAAAAAATTCTTAATCAACTACAGTGCATAGTGTACCATCAAGCCCTCTGTTAACTAGCTGAGTGCCTGAACCTTTGGACTTCTGGTCCAGGAAATTCCACATGTGGGCTCTAGGGCCCCATTGTGGGGGAAACAAGAATAGACCCACTGCGTTCCAAACAAGCATGTCGTAAGAGTCGACTAACTGGGGGCTTCCTTCGAAGTCAGAGTGCATCTGCCTAGGAGGCAAGGAACCAACAATCTGCATACAATTAAGTCAGATCTGTTAAACGGATTTGCACTCAACACTCAAGTTATGGAACAAGAGTAAAGTCTAGAGGTGGACAAACAAATAAAACTTTCTGCCAGAGTTTACAGCCGGTGAACGCGAAGTAGAAGAAGAAGAAGAAAAAGACGGTCCAGAAATAGAAAATTTGCATCAGCAAAACCTAGATGGAAACAAATAACTTTTCAGAGCATCAACATTGAACCAGCTAAATTATCACCAGTCATCCACTTGTGGGATGCAATTTTTCATTATTTGAAGCCCCACCCTGGCTTTTGCCGGGAGCCCTAAACATAGATGGGCCACAATGGTAGTCATAACGGCTGAAAGGGGTTTCTGGGGCCTCTCCACGGGTGATCCTCATCCGCATGGTGGCACTTTGTGTCACCGGTGTTTATCACTTGTGTTATGTCCTGGTGGGGTACAACAAGCAAGCAAGCAAGCATGCACAACCAACTAACAGCCATTTTGGATGGAAAAAGTATCTTCACTTTAGCATGGAAGAGAGGCTTATCAGCTCCAATGGCCACAAGAGTTATTGCACTGGTAGCTCAGAGAGACAATCCTGTGTGCCCTGCAGGTAAACTGTTGACAGTCAAAGGCTAGAGAAAGCCAACTGGAAAAGATGCTTGTCAACACTGTATATACTCAGCCACAGACTTGATGACAAAAAATGCAATCCAACGATATACATGATGAAGATCTTTTTCTCAGTGTACATGGCTGTAAACTCCACTTATTTTATGCACTACTGACTTCCAGAAAGCAATGGCAAACTACTGGTCGTAAATTTGCCTAGAAAAACCACAACAGCCAAAAAATGTTGGGGTTGGTTCTGCAACGTCCTGTAAAGGATATGCAACTAACTTTACTGACTCCTCAACTCCAAGCTGATTTTGACGAAAACACTCCTACTTAATTGACTTCTATGGCATGCTTGTTAGAAGGACAGTGGGTTTTTTCATATTTTTTTTTCTCCCAAAACTGAGCCATGCAGCCCTTAAAGGGAATGGCAAAAAAGAATACTATAAAAGTCAGCAATGACATCATTCACAAATAGAATACAACAAAAAAAGTTAAGTCTAGAAAGCAGGTCACACCACACTGGCAACAAAACAGACCAGGTCTTTCACTACCTGTTCATTTTGTGTAGACTGGGGAAGTAACTCTCAGCAGCTGTGCTCTACCCTAACTACACTGAATTACTTACAAACACTGGGGAAGTAACTCTCAGCAGCTGTGCTCTACCCTAACTACACTGAATTACTTACAAACACTGGGGAAGTAACTCTCAGCAGCTGTGCTCTACCCTAACTACACTGAATTACTTACAAACACTGGGGAAGTAACTCTCAGCAGCTGTGCTCTACCCTAACTACACTGAATTACTTACAAACACTGGGGAAGTAACTCTCAACAGCTGTGCTCTACCCTAACTACACTGGATTACTTACAAAGGCATCAACACGAATGTTCCAAGTCCCATAGTTTGGCTGGTCTGACAAGCGAAACTGCTGACTTATGATGCCCCCAGCATTTGACTGCAGACCTTGCCAACGCCTGACAGCAATTCCAGTTGGGTCCTGGAAACAATGTAACAACAGAACTGTATCATCATCATCATGTAGCAGGTCCTTTGCATAATGTCACTCTCATCACGGTCTGACTGAAAGAAACTGTCTCTCGTCAGCTCACCCACCTCATGTACTTTCATACTCGAGGAGTGACTTATATCCTGTGCCCAACTTCGTGTCGGTCGGCCCCTGCCCCTCCTTCCTGGTACCTGCCTTCTGCTATTATTTTTCCAATTCGTCGTGGCGCTTGATATGACCAAAACATTTCAGCTTCCAAGACAGGCAGATTCACTCTGACAGAAGGAACCCCCCCCCCCCCCCCCCCCACCAATTAATCACCTTTTACAACATGCTTGTAGGGAGGGGAGGGGAGTATATTCTTTTTTTTTTTTTCTTCCCCAAAATAGGACTGCCAAATCCACTCTGGGAAATTTACTTGGGTTAAAAAAAAAATAGTGGAAAATTTGGTTGGCAATTCTTTACAACACAGGACTGCAAGGTACACCACTTTAGTGTAGCCATCACAAGTGCCCTAATTTTAGCCTCTCTGAAGGCTGAATGGGGGCATCTAGGATTTGCCTTTTTTTTTATTACCCTCCAGAATGCGACTCATGAAGTCACAGGGGTGGTTAAATCATCAAATAGCTGCTCAGTTTAAGGGAAAAGGAGGGGGGGGGGGGGAAGTACCAACAGACACACACACAAAAAATGGTTCCTGGCAGAAGTGACAGAGGCTAACCAACAAGATGGTGGTTGCAGAATATTAAAGACATGGGTAGGGGCATGGGCGAAGGATCCAGGGTCTCTTATTTGGGTTGTTTTGAATTAACTATACTGTGCATAATATTTTCTAAGTGATGATTACAGTAATTTTCACTTGGCACTTAAGAAACTTTAGCAGATGCAACAAAGATTTAGGTTCTAAATTGTTACCTCAATGTAGATTATGAGGTTTCCGTACTTCGGCATCATGTCTGGTTGGATTGGAATCACTCTGAAGTGAACTGGACAGAAAATAATTAAAAATAATTTTGAAGTTTAACAATTTATGTGAAGGACTTTATGTATATGAAAGCATAGATAACACTATACAGGAGTTTAAACTGCTGTCCTTTTTCTTCCATATTTTCTGAAGAACTACAGTAAACTAAATACTAAAAAAATATTATTAATATTAAAATAATATTAAAATATAAATACTCTAAAAAAATGTTTTAAAAATTTTTTTTATTTGCGTGGTCTCGAGGCATGGTGTCCGCCTCAAGTGCTAGAGGTTCCGGGTTCAATCCCCAGTAAGGGCTGGGATTATTTTAACGAGGACTTAGACTTCCAGTAATTCCCCCAGGTCTCTGGGTAATGAGATCAGACACCGTGTGCATTTTTGTGAATGAAAAAAAATCCCTTGGCAGTTGGAAATCGAAAATAGCAGCCCACTGCCCGGGCAAAAATGTGGAGTTAAAAATCTACCCAAAGTATTCCAGGATCCTCGCTGGTTATACAGAGCCTGTGCACTGTGCTCAGCTTCTTCGGACTCAGACTTGAGTTAGAAGAAGAAGAGAGCACTTACTACCTTGTGCCATGATGTTGATCTGTTGACCAAAACGTAGTGAACTAAATACAAAAGGTCCTATCATATAAACGGAGCTATAGTAAACTAAATACAAAAGGTCCTATTATATAAACGGAGATATAGTAAACTAAATACAAAAGGTCCTATCATATAAACGGAGCTATAGTAAACTAAATACAATAGGTCCTATCATATAAACGGAGCTCTAGTAAACTAAATGAACTAAGTCCTTCCAAACAATCAATCAATAAGAATGTCCTTTATCTCTCTTCATGGCACGTCTGAAAGTATCTCTATTTCTAGTCAATTTTCCAGCCGTCCGTGCTTTTATAGCCAATGCATTTTCATGTCTTCTATCCACATTTGTAGAGGTAGACCTCCACGTCATTTCCCGGAGACTGCACCCCCATAACTGTATTCTCAAGATCACCAGGGCACTTGACATGTTCATGATACCTCAGCCTTCAGAAGAGGATGCTGTTTATGAGCCAGTTCTGTTTGATGTTCAGGCCATGCAGGATGAAAGTACATGAGACAGAAGGTTGTGGATAGACTTGACTATGAACACCACACAGCACAGTCAATGGAAGATCATCTGTGTCACAAATGACTGAAAGTACTCAAAACAGAAGGTTGTGGATAGACATGAGTAGCAACACCACGCAGCATGGACTATAGAAGATCATCTATGTCAGAATTGACCGAAAGTACATGAGACAGAAGGCTGTGGATAGACAGGACTATAAGTACCATACAGCATGGACTATGCAAGATCATCTGTGTCAGAACTGGCTGAAATTACATGAGACAGAAGGCTGTGGTTGTACATGACTACCAACACCACACAACATGGACTAGAAGAAGAATACTCACCAGTCTGCTCCTGTCGATAAATCGGCTTGCTCATCTGTATAAACAGGGAAGCTCTCTTGGTGGAGAACTCAATGTCTGTTTCATTAGAGAATATATTTCCACTGATTCTCTCGTCCAGTTTTCCTTCTATTCTCAATTTATACTGCCCATGCTCTGCATTGGAAGGCATCTAGCCACACATAAAGAGAACAAAATAATTTATAGCTAGCAAAATCAAATCACATGCCAGATTTATAGTAGACATAAATATTAAAAATTAAGTAAAGAACACTTCTTATGCTAGTAATGCACTGGGCACATCATCATCATGACTGCCCTGTTGTGCCATCATATGTCAAATTTAAAAAAAAAAAAAAACCTTACATCATCTAGCTTGCCATGTAACACCAAGTGGTACAGAACCAGCCAGTCTTTCTGTGTCTTCATTTCCCAACACACCGACATGACTTGGAGAAAATACACAAAGGACGCTAACTATCCAAGACCTCTGAAGCAATGCACTCTGCATGGAGCATACCTGTCGCCACCATTCCCATCAGGCTCTATGAGTCAGTTACTGTTACGACAAGCATGTACAGCTGGGTCTCAAGCCAGAAGGCTACAGTGACTGCCAACTAGGGCTGTACCGAATATTCGCTTCGTATTCGCTGCGGGGCCGAATAGTGGACCCAATAACTATTCGGTATTCGGCCAAATAGTTACGGTCGGGCCGAATACGAATAGTGGTTACCTCACAACCGTTTCTGGACTGGTGGAAAAAAAAAACATCAAGACTTCCCACCTTGGTTTATACTGTGAAGCGTTATCTTTGTGCACCACCTACGAGCATACCAAGTGCCCCTTCATTTCCATCTTGCATGTGTTGCGAGTAGTGTTGTCGGCTTGATTTCTTTGAGTGGAGTGTCCTCTTCGTTGATTCTTTGAAGTAACGGGAGTTGGTCATCATTTATGGGTGTCGTATCTGTTCTTTCGTCGTCTCGTGGAAACGGCAGCGGCTGAATGTTGTGATCGACGTTCGGCTTCTTCATTGTCTTTGTTGTTTGATCTTCTGGCGTTGGCCGCCCGGCATCTGGTTTCGTGAACTCGCGGGGAGCTGGGCGACTTGAAAGGACGGCATTGTTTTCTTCATTTTTTTATGTTTCGCCTTGCGAGTTTTCATTTTGACTCTCTGTATTTGTCGTATTTTCCTGTTTAGTACAGCTAGAAATACCTTCAGTGAGACAAAAAGCTGGCCTAATGCTGACAACATGAAACGAAGGTTTTTCATGGAGGTGTGTCAGCACACGAACTAATATGTGCTGCAGGAGATCGCAGATTGTGGCGAGGCATAATCGCCCATGCCAGCCGGCAAAGCACATGATGATGATGATTCACTATTCGTATTCATATTCGGCCGAATAGTTGGTCCAGCTATTCGTATTCGGCCGAATAGTGAAAATCACTATTCGGTACAGCCCTACTGCCAACACCTTCATTCTCAAACTAGACGTTATATCATATGCCAGGCTTTGCTGCACTAAGTAATGAACCCTCATGCACTTTGTCTGCCTCTGAACACAGAGCTATCTGTATAGATAATTCTGACAAGAGACTAAGAGCAAGTAAATATAAAGGACCTTTTCACATCTATGACCTATCGGACATACAGTGCCAGACCTATATTTTTATAGACCAACATGCACTAGATGAATCATGCATTCAACATCATGCTGGCTATCTTTACTTCCAAAGTTGTTGGTCTGCAGTTCTACGTCTGGTCTATTATCATCATACAATTCCCCTATATACTCTGTCCATCTGTTAATTATATTACTATGTCCCATTAAGTCACCATCCTTTGATTTCAAACATCCAGTGCTGTTACGTGTCATCTTTCCTGTTAACATATTTATCTGTTGGTACAATTAGGATGTGGAGACAGGGTTCTGGAAATCTAAGGTAGTCAACCTGTTTTCTAAAGTAAAGAAAACAAAATCCACAAAGCAAAGCATAAACTGGTCAAGTGATTTTTGTACACACAAAAACTCTGTTTAACACTCACAATAAGAGAACAAGACATAACTCAAAAGTCTCACCTGTAACTGCACAATCCGACTAGAAGGTCGGTCAAATCTCACAATGCTACTGGCATACTCTTTGTCCTCACGGACAACTGACACACGTATGTTTATAGACTCCTGGCCAAACTCCATTCTCAAGAGTGTGGCAAACACCTGAAACACTTGTTCTGCTCGAATGCGCCGTGGTGCCATAATCATGTAAATTCTGCCAATATGAAAATACAGCAGATACTGGTTAACTCTTTTGGTACCAGAGGACAGTTAAATTAGTTATACATCAGTACATGGCAGGTCTCACGGGACCGAAAGAGTTAATAAAAGCAAATGCAAGTAGGAAGTGTATATATATATATATATATATATATATATATATATATACGAGACGATAGAAAGGATATGAGCTAATGGCAGAAATAAGTGAAGCTCTGTATTGGGAAAATGTATGGATTAACAGAAGGAATAAGTAAGGACTGATGATGGAGAAAAGACACAATGATAAATACAGTGTAGACAGTTTAAGGTGAACTTCTGTTGTGAAGAACAATTTGTTTATCCCGGGCAAATTTTTTTCTTGCTCAATTCTTATCTGGAAAAGAAGAACTGTTGAACCACTTCTTAGGTCCCGGTGAGTTCTCCTTAGCAGGTCTGTACTGCATAAAGATTATGTAAGAGCTGACAGATGTAACGAGTGATATATGTAACATCTCCACCAAACACATCACAGTGGTAACTGGAGAACGAGAAGAAGATCGATTGAAGACCGAAGAAGAAAAAGAAGAAGAGTTGAAAGAAAGAATGAAGCTGCCATAGAAGGAATAAATAAGGATTCATTGAAGGATTATGTATGAGTTCATAGAGGAGTACAAAAAGTTGATATCAGATATAATGACTGATAATTTCCCTGTGTGGGTTCCGGGACCCTATTATAGGAAAAACAGGAATAGACCCACTGCCTACCCAAAAGCATGCTGTAAGAGTTGACTAATTGGGGGATTCCTTCGAAGTCAGAGTGCATCTGCCTGAGAAGCAAGGAACCAGCAGTCTGCATACAAATGAGTCAGATCTGTAAAATGGATGCACACGCAACACTCAGGTTCTGGAACAGGACTGCAGTCCAGCTTAATATAGTACCGTCTTCTTTGTCTTACAACTGTTGATACCAGTGGGTGTCCAGATATTTCTGTTTAGGAACATGAAAGAAATTCTTCTTCTTCTTCGCATTCACCAGCTATAAACTCTGGCAGAAAGTTCTGGTTGTTCATCCACTTCTGGACTTTTAGTCTTTTTCCAAAACCTGAGTGTTGCATGTGCATCCGTATTGCAGGTGTTATTTGCATGCAGCTGTTGGTTCCTTGCCTCTCAGGCACGTGTACTTCAACTTCGAAGGAAGCTCCCAATTAGTCAACTCTTACGACATGCTTTTGGGTAGAGCACTGGGTCTATTCCTGTTTTTCTTACAAAAGGGCCCCGGAACCCACATAGAGATGAAAGAGATTATTAACCATCCTTTTAGGGTCAACGGAGTGTAGACAAACTTGTTCTTAGTATACTAATCAGGAAATGAAACCGTGGATAAACTTTCTAAGAAAGGGGCATAATGTGAACAGGAAGAGAATGCAGTAAAATGAGAAGAAAATGGCCTTCCAGTCTATAAGAAGCAAAAAGAATCTGGTCAGAGATGACTACCACTTACTTGACCAGCATAGGTAAGTCATCATTCTACGCCTCAGGACAGGACATAACAAATTTAACAAGCATATACACAGGCCACGTCTAAGGAGTTCACCATTGTGCCCATGTGAGCTGTGTGTGCAAGCTACAGAACACATCCTGCAAGAATGTCCCTTGTACAACCCATTGAGAAGGGAATACTGGCTCAATGAGTCAACACTGCACTCAAAGTTGTATGTAACTAGAAGGAAACTCCTGAAAATTTATCACAAGAATTGTCTGTTAGTGTAAATCAGAAAGTGAACACAAGAAGAAGAAAAAGAAAGTTTACTGTTGCAAATTATGTCAACCTTACTATCTTTTTTTCTTCTTTTGATAACTCCCGTGATGCTGCTGCTTGGACAAGTGAACTTCTCGGATTAGCGCAAACAAAGAGGAGGATAAGTGTGCACATGGCCACATTTAACAAAAACTTGGCAATTGAAAATAAAAAAATATAAAAAAAAAAAAGCACGGATTTAACAGGCCATATCCAGGCTCAGTTAAAAACAAAAAATTACAAATAATCTTATACTTGAAGAAAATACTGGCATTACCAAGTTGACTGTCATGGGAAATGCTAACTGAAATCCTGGATCTACTAACAGTTTAAAATACAGTAATTCTTTGGTAAGGGATGCAGTAACCATTTAGTTTGTGAAATAGATAGATTAACACATTAGTATAGGATATAGAACAGTTTCATTTACTGTCCTGTTGTGCCATTAATGTTACGAATACCCGGGACGGCCAGAGTAACTAACAATGATTGCTTGAAAGAAGCTAATTAAAGTAGATCTCTATATACAACTTTAAGAAAGAGACAAACACTGTTCCTTTGCAACATAATGAGAAGAGAGACATTGGAGAGCATTGTGACAACTGGAAAGATCAGTGGAAAAAGGGGTAGAGGCAGACCAAGAGAGATGATGCTGGATGGGCTGAAACGATGGCATGGAGGGATATCATGAGGAGAGCTGTTCCAGGCAACCAGGGATCGTGATCTGTGGAGACGCATGAGCGCCTATGCCAGTTGGCAGGGCATATGATGATGATGATGTGCCACTTTATGTCACATGGGACTCACAGTTGATTTCTCCATTCTCTTCCATCCTGTGCTATAACTTTGATAGTGTAGATGGAATCCAGTCCAGCAGATCTGGCTTCTCTCATCAATGTTTGCCTCAGAGCAGTGGTTCTCAACCTTTCTAATACTGCGACCCTTTAATACAGCTCCTCATGTTGTGGTGACCATCAAACATAAAATATATTTTCGTTGTCACTTCATAATTTCAGCGAATATTTGTTTTCCAATGGTCGTAGGCGACCCCATTAGGGTTTCTTCTGGATGCCCTCATTTCTGCAGGCTCTGTTTTCCATCTCAGTGACTGTTTAGTGATTCTCTGTTTATCTCTTCTCATAATGTGTCCAATTTAGTGCTATCTTCTCTGTTGTTCAACTGTTCATACTAGTAGTTTCCCAGACATTTCTTTTATTTCCCATCTTAAATTCATCCCATTTTATGTTCATCTTTTTCCTCCTGCACAGAACAGTGAAGAATGGATTTAATCAATGTTTAGAAAAGGATATAATAACAGTTTTGTAAATGATATAGTAACACACTGGCAAATGATTTAGTAAGAGTTGATAAGATGATAAAACAGTTCATTCCAGGATATAGTTAAAATTTACTATATGAAACATAAACAGTTCAGTTTAGGATGCAGCATCAGTTCAGTAAACACACCAGGAAGTGGTTATCTGAACCATTCAGGCATGTTCATAATTTTAGCGAAAAAAAAGAAGCAATACAATTAAAACCTCAAGAGAGACCATAAATATAATTACAAACTTAAAACAACAAACAAGAGACAACTTGAATACAGATACATTACTCACGGTGGACGTCCGAGTTCGCATCCTTCTATGTTTTCTATCAAGCAATGTTCCCTGTCCAGTGCCTCTAGAGTTGCTGTCAGACACAGAATCACAATGGCTACATTCAGAAACATATTTGTATTCATATTAAACTTATACAACTGTTTATCACTCATTCAATGACCACAATTAATTATCGGCACTAATAATTTCTACAAATTAATTCCTGAATCAACTACAGGAAGCAAGAATTGAAAACTGAAGTAGCCAAAGCTTCAACTATGTCGCCATTTTGAAGCTGACCCATATTGATAACAATTGATGTTAACTAAAATTGAGGCTTGGCTGTGTTTTTATCTAGTGCTCTTCACTTGAGCCTGCAAAATGTGAATAGCCCTTGATTCATATTTTTGAAAATTACAGGAGATAAGGCCAGAAAATGATAACATTTACATATTTTCCTACACAGAGTTTCTTCAAAACTACCTGAAAGTAAAGGATATTAGTTTTCAGATAGCACATTTATAATAATATTAAAACAATAAAATTAAAATTAAAAAATTATATATATATATATACACACAGAATAATGAATAAAGGAGAGCAACAGTGATGTGGAAATAAATTTGCTACCATCTGTCTTGTCACGCAGGAAATAGGAAATCTGTTTGATCTGAGGAGAAAATAATGGGAGTGGTGGAAGTGAGGAGGAAGAGAGCGGGATTGAATAAGGGAAAGAGACAACAATAGAGAAAGAGAAAGTAGTGATGGGCTGGTGGATTTAAAATGAAACCATGAACAATGAGGAAATATAATCTTCCCTAGTCAGTATGTAATTAGCTTGCATAGGAACAATCTAGGTTAAATCAGCCCAAATTCATCAAAAATGTAAGCCACATAACTAACCAGAATATTTTTTACTCAGTCTTGAAAAGACATTAGGAAAATTTAAACATAAACCATTATTTCACTTGCTAAGAAATGTACACTGTGAAATAAGTAAAAGATTTTAGAGATAATTCCACAGAATAATGAAAAAAAGAAATGAATAATAATCATAAATATTGAATGTTCATTACAAGTTTCAACGGACTTAACAAAAGCAGATAGCTTCTGTTTATCTATAATTGTTTTTAACGGCACAGCCATAGGTATTACTGACAACGTGACTTGAAGGTTTATGATTATCCAGTTTCCTTAGACTGATTAACCAGTTTCCTTAGAAATATTATCCAGTTCCTTAGACTGATTATCCAGTTTCCTTAGACTGATTATCCAGTTTCCTTAGATTGATTATCCAGTTTCCTTAGACTGATTATCCAGTTTCCTCAGACTGATTATCCAGTTCCTCAGACTGATTATCCAGTTCCTCAGACTGATTATCCAGTTCCTTAGACTGATTATCCAATTTTCTTAGACTGATTATCTAGTTCCTTAGACTGATTATCCAGTTCCTTAGACATTGTGCAGTTTATCTAGACTGATTGTCCAGTTTCCTTAGACTGATTAACCAGTTTCCTTAGAAATATTATCCAGTTCCTTAGACTGATTATCCAGTTTCTTTAGACTGATTGTCTAGTTTCCTTAGACTAAATATCCAGTTCCCTTAGACTGATTATCAAGTTTCTTGGACTGATTATCCAGTTTCCTTAGAAAGATTATCTAGTTCCTTAGACTGATTATCCTGTTTCTTTAGATTGATTGTCCAGTTTCCTCTGACTGATTATCCAGTTCCTTAGACTGATTATCAAGTTTCCTTAGACTGATAATCCAGTTTCCTTAGACTGATTATCCAGTTTCCTCAGACTGATTATCCAGTTCTTCAGACTGATTATCCAGTTCCTCAGACTGATTATCCAGTTCCTTAGACTGATTATCCAATTTTCTTAGACTGATTATCTAGTTCCTTAGACTGATTATCCAGTTCCTTATTGTGCAGTTTACCTAGACTGATTGTCCAGTTTTCTTAGACTGATTATCCAGTTTCCTTAGACTAATTATCCAGTTCCTTAGACTGATTATCCAGTTCTTTAGACTGATTATCCAGTTCTTTAGACTGATTATCCAGTTCTTCAGACTGATTATCCAGTTTTCTAGACTGATTATCCAGTTCTTTAGACTGATTATCCAGTTCTTTAGACTGATTATCCAGTTTTCTAGACTGATTATCCAGTTCCTTAGACTGATTATCCAGTTTCCTGAGACTGATTATCCAGTTTTCCTCAAACTCATTATCCAGTTTCCTCAGACTGATTATCCAGTTCCTTAGACTGATTATCCAGTTTTCTTAGACTGATTATCCAGTTCCTTAGACTGATTATCTAGTTCCTTAGACTGATTATCCAGTTCCTTAGACTGATTATCTAGTTCCTTAGACTGATTATCCAGTTCCTTAGACATTGTCCGGTTTATCTAGACTGATTGTCCAGTTTCCTTAGACTGATTATCCAGTTTCCTTAGACTGATTATCCAGTTCCTTTGATTTTCGTTTCCTTAGAATGATTATACAGTTTCCTTAGACTGATTATCCAGTTTCCTTAGACTGATTATCCAGTTTTCTTAGACTAATTATCGGGTTTCCTTATACTGATTATCCAGTTTTCTTAGACTAATTATCCAGTTTCCTTAGACTGATTATCCAGTTCCTTCCCTTATTATATCCACACATATTAAGTTGATGTCAATTCAACAAGGTGTATCCTTGTATTCTTCTGGAAGAAAGGGGGAGAGAACAGTGATGGGAGAAATGGGACAAACTAACTGCCAGATGTGAAACAAAAGCTTATCAACATTTAACACTAACTGCCGGTGTAAAACAAGACAAAACAACACAGTTTATCTAACGATGACTCTCCCAACAAACACTAAGGGCCCAGACACAGAGATAACCAGGCTGCAGAGCCCAGCCAATAGCTGCCCACTGATAAGCTAGCTAATCATCTATAGAAGCAATAGTTACATTTAAGGACACACTACCGTCTTAAATGTTTTCTGAAACCCCAAACCAGAGACAACAGTTTATTTGTGAGTATTTAGTATCAACTTTCTATTTGAATTCATGTCAAGGAATACCTGTAAGAAAGTTTCATCATCATCATTATCTATTTCATACAAACTTGATTAGGAAATCATGTACTTCTTCACAGAGCCTGATTCTAACTTAAATTATTTTTTTAAACAACTCAAGAAGCAGAACTAGCCATCTTACCAATACAACACAATCACAACAGATAAAACAAACATTAAACATTGCAACTGAACAACCTTCTTAGGCATTCACCAAGGTATGCATCTCCATCTGTAATTATCTTCTCCATGTGTTGTAGGTCCCCTAGGAGACAGAGGGAGACCTAAAACACATGGAGAGGATAATTACGGACAGTAACACTGGCTTTCATGGGAGGGGGCGGTGGGTTGTGTGTGTATGCAAAGGTGCACAGTACTGGCACCTTTATAGGCATCTTATTTTTTCAGGGCTACTGCAACAGACACTTTGTGGTGAGCACCAGCATATTTTTAGATTTTATACACTTTGTGGTGAGTACTCGCACATTTTTTGACACTTTGTGGTGAGCACAAGCACATTTTTTGACACTTTGTGGTGAGCACAAGCACATTTTTAGATTTTATACACTTTGTGGTGAGTACTCGCACATTTTTAGACACTTTGTGCTGAGTATTGGCATAATTTTGTCTAGAAAAATGGTCTACTGGCTCCAAATTACAAGTCATAAGACATGCAGACACCCCTTAATTTCAAAGGTATGATATGGAGGGCGCAGCCCGTGTCGAACAGGAAGCTTAATATACGGTTGTGAGGTTAAACAGTCATGTGCAGGACGTGACCATTCCTTGGGTGAGTTCAGAACCAGAAGATCATGTGTTGGCTTTGCATTTATGGAAGACTCTTTGGATGGCGGAGAATGCCCATGACCTGCCCCTGCCTTTCCTTGAGAGCTGATCTACACAGGGCTGCCCTAAAGGGAGTACTCCGGGAGCAGCACCTGTAGATAAAGGGACAAAGAGGACACCACACAAATGATGCAAAATCTCGACCTACACAAAACAATGGCCACAATCATCCTAGAAATAGGCTTGACGTCTTCCCTCGAAGTCAGAGTACATCTGCCAGTGAGGCAGGGAACGGCAAACAAATAAGCCACTGAAACGGATGTACGCGTAAAACTCAGGTCCAGGTAAAAGCCAAAAGCCCAAATGGACGAACTACTGGGACCTACCGGTGAATGAAGAAGAAGAAGAAGAAGAAGAAGAAGAAGAAGAAAAAGAAGAAGAAAGGTCTGCTATGGACCCTATGCTTGAGAAAGAATTAGAATTTTATCAATATTAGAACTGCAGAAGACTGCATTCTGAAGCTGAGGGATCACTGAAATAAAAACCACCAATGGTAAACAATAAAACATAGAATCACTACAGGGAGGATACTTGGGAGTTGCAGAAGATGGCAAAAGAAAGGGGTGCTTGAGTCAGTTGACTGATGCCCTATGCTCCAGTGGGAGAGGAGAGATAACTTGTGTTGTAATATAGTATAGAATTGCTGGGAAGTATAAATAACCCTTTTAACTCTTTCCGTACTAAACAACTCATCATGAGTATACTGATACATGTATATGTGATGTATGTGATGTAAATTTCTTTACTTCTTCCATCATATTATTCCGTTACGTTAACCTTTTTATCCCATTTATTAGGGCAACTCTGTCAGTCCCATAGCTGTGTCTTTTCAATCCCCTTAGATTTAATATTGCAACTCTAAAATACAATGTGTGAGAGAGAGAGAGAGAGAGAGAGAGAGAGAGAGAGAGAGAGAGAGAGAGAGAGAGAGAGAGAGAGAGAGAGAGAGAGAGAGAGAGAGAGAGAGAGAGAGAGAGAGAGAGAGAGAGAGAGAGAGAGAGAGAGAGAGAGAGAGAGAGAGAGAGAGCAGCAATAAAAACCTTTTGGGATTAAAAGAGATAAGACAGAAAATGGTGCTGCTGACAGAAATATAATGGACACACATTTTGGTAACTTCACATGATACTAAAATCTGCTGAATGCCATAATTTTCTTCTTCTTTGTGATCGGTTTTGTATGCTCAGGTCAGACCATCAGGTGGGTTGCCTCTATGAACTCGCATGTCAGCTGCAGGTCCTTTAGGGTTTCCTATTAGTTTGCTCTG